GAAGAAAATCCTGGAGTGTTGAGACCTGACCTAAGAAATGACCTTCTCATCTACATGTACACAGCAATAATGAAACAAGAAAATGTATGTCTTGCAGTCAAGTGTCAGGACCAGTGCTGCACACCTCTTGACTTTTTAAGTATTCATACTTCTCCAAGTCCAGATGATAGCAACTTCTTAGAGTATGATCTCTACAGACACCTGATGACAGGCAATAAATGGAGTTTTATAGAACAATCCATTCTTGATAGATGCTTTTTCCTTCAATACCTTGCCAGTGATCCGAAAGTGGTAGGAGAAGACTTGACTGTAAACAAAAGTCAAAGCACATTCAATGCAGTACTTTATTATCAATTGATGACAAACTTTATTTGGTGCAACAAAGACGAGAACATCTATTATGAAAGACATTGTCTCCCTGAACATCATTTCTTAAATGTTTCTGGAATGCAAGAAGGAGACACGTTGATTCTTTACAAGAGAACATCTCGGTCACAATTACTTCAGATGTTGATGACTGGTCGTGGGATCAGTTTCCCAGAGGACCGTTCTACAGCACGTCATGGATGTGATGTAATCAGTTATTACCGCTTGAGTTGCAAAGATACAAAGAAACAAGATTTGCCTGAAGAGACTCATCAAAGGAGACAGTTCAACCTTGCATTGTACCAAGGTTTATTGACAGGATCAAGATTTTGTCTGGCTAACGATGTTAAGCTTCATACATCTTCAAATATAAGTCTACTCTTTGATCACTTTTTTAGAGATGTTCAATTTGTAGACAATGCTATGGAGAATGCTTCCACTAATATGGCCGAATCTTCCAGTGGTCCTGAGCAGTACCTCACATTCACTGCTCTTGCACAAGGACTCCCAATTTCATTCCCAAATGATTACCACTTGTCCTCACACTGCACATGGTTCAACTTCAATGTTTCATCCAAACTGGCTTCTGCGCTGTCGGGAAAAGCTGCAACTCAAGATCAAACAAACTTTGTCATCAGCATTTATGAAGAAATCATGATGTCTCATTGGACATGCTCAACGTATTTTGACGAAACACCTAGCTGCTTGTTTCATGATAGCCATCCTCAAGAAAAACATGTTGATCAGAAATCAGAAAACCGTAAGAAATCTGATATTGCTTTGAAGCCTAAGAGAAAGAAGGGACGAAGAGGTGATATTAGTGTAAAGGATAAACAAGCAACGTTCAAATCTATCATAGACTCCTTCAGCCTATGCAAACTGCTTCATGAATCTGACTACAGAAGTGTCTGCTTTTTGTTGAGTCACCTTGTCTCTCAAAGCATGGAAAATTCTATCGTGTACACCAACCCTGTCGTTGACATGACTCTCAAAAGAAGGTCAATATATTCTTCTCTACAAGTTGCACATGTTTTGAGTGGTAAGTCAAAAACCTTGCCTTGTAACACCATGTCAATAGAAAATTACTTCTTAGAATATATGTATCTTTAGATCTTACAGACATGAATGTAGAATCCCTTCCATGTTCCCTTCTTCCTTGCCCCTTTCTTGTAGGCCTACAAGTAAAATATAAACGCCTAGATCTGCAAAGTATATTCGTTCGTTTTGTTCCAAACTACAGTTTTCTTTGATATATATTTAAAAAGTAAGTTACTGTTCTATACATTATACAAAAAAGGTAATGTACAATTAGGCAAACATGTAATAGTAATTGCCTGAAAATAGAAATTAAAAAGCATAGGTTAGATTGCCAAAATCCTTTCCATGCACATTTGAGACAGGAAATGATAGATGGAAATGTGTAGGGGGAAGGGCCAAACACATGTAGACACATGCAGCAGTTACATTACCAATTAGTAATTAGCATCATATCATTAGTTACAGAGCAGTGTGGAAGCCTGCAATTAGCCTAATCCTCTTATCAGTACATGCATAGCCAAAGGCTACTTGTTTGGATCACTGCTATTGATTCAACACTAGATTGGCTCTACTCAACAATGATTGACTATTACAAAATTACACAAAGCTGCTTGGCTAATTAAGTATTCTGCATTTATACATTTATGCAGATTAAATGTAATTCAATTCTTTGAATGTTCTTGTAATTGTATGTGATTTTCACTTTCAAAGAGAACAAAAATGAATGAGTTGTACTTATATGTGCAAATTAACTTCATTCATACCATCATTATTTGATTCCTAAAGTACAGTAGTTGAAATGAAAGACAAATTAAAAACTTTTTAAAAGACTTCTTTTCATAAAATTTAAAATTTCAAACAAATTGATGTGTATTTGATATTAAAGGTATGCAGGATAATGTAAAAACGTTCTGTCGTCCCTTATGTTCACACTCACATAATTTTATATTCTCAGAAATTAGCTAAAAATACATTTTAGCATTGAAGTAGGAGACAGGCTAGAAATAAAGGGCATTTCTTGACACATTATCTATTGATCAAAGAGTTATGTGTGAGGGACTACCTAAGGTTTTATGAAGGATTAACATAATTCATACTGCATAGTCTTATGAAAGGGGGAAAATGCCAAGCAGATCTTTTATCAAGCCTGTTAATGATTATAACTGGACACATGATATAGGAATGCAATACCCAAGGCAAATGTGCTGCGTGGGGTGTAATATAAAGCCCTTTTCATTTGTCATTCTTTAAAGGGATATAAAGTTATTTATTCTGCAGTTGACGTACCCTTCACTCATACTTTCTCTGTGAGTGCGAGTGTCTTTTCTGTTCATTAAAAAAAGATAGATATATATCAGGTACTACTCTGATCTACTAGTCTACTTACACTGTATACAATACTATGTATAAAAATGCAGAATCACAGTAGCATACATTGTACAAAATTGAAACAAAGTGGATGAATTTAATTTACAGCAATTTTCAAGTAAAAACTGTAATTAGATGTGTTAGAATAAACATTCAGTCTACTTAACATAATGCTAACAAGAACCTACCCTAACTCATATTACATGTTTAGATTCTGCATGCTATGTATGATACAAATCTTTTCTATGTATTGTAGATTGTGAATATATTGGTAGTTGTAAAATATGTTTCATTCATTAAAAGCATGTGTGTATTGTATGTGAGTATGTAGTTGCAAGCATACTCATGTTTTTTTTGTTGGTTATGTTCTGTATTGCTAGTGAATGGCATGCATACAATTATCAAATTTATGCAAACTGACAATTATAATCTAAATATGTGCATGAGTGATGCATTCTATTGCATGGTAAGCTTTGGAAATTTCTGAAGTTCTATAGTAAAAACATGAAAGGTTTGATGACTTTTAACAAACAAAAAGTAATACGGCCAACACTAAATATTATGTGGCATGTGGATACTGGCTTAATTTATGAATGGAAGCTCTGTGCATAATAGAGGCATTTGTATTAGCCTTTTATAGGGATGAGTGTGCAAATTTCAAATGATGCATACTATGAGCAAAGTCTATAAATATAGCAAGGAATGTAAATATAGGTTATAAGATAGAACTTACAAAATATAACGCTCAGCATGTCAAGCGCAATTGTATATAATAGGGTGCCACCTTTAGACTTTTACTCTTCTGGCTTTCGGCTGACTGCATGAGTAAATGATTTGAAATTGAGCTTTGTTTAGCGGGTGAATGATATATAGGCAATGAAAAGTATTGGAAGTGCGCAAAGCAAACTTATAGTATATTAGTTCATATAAATTTAAACCTAGCAAACTGGAAAGAGTGAAATGCTTGTGTAATTACATTGAGTTAATGTACATGTGGACTCTGCCATTTGACACTTTAGGATTGCAATTTACTACTCGACCACTGCAGTGACTACCTGTAACACCAGAAACTTTCCCAAAGTGCAAAAAAAAAAAAAATACTGTGTCTGTTGTAATTCAATAATTTTGCAGCATTGATCTTATGTCAGTCAGACCCACTTGCAAAATTCATGAACATTAAATGCATGTGAACGTTTTTGGTTTTACAGTAGTTTCTACTACTACTTCTACTACTGATACTACTACTAATACTAATACTTCCATTACCACCATTACTTCTACTGCTACTACTACTAGTACTACTTCTTTTGCTGCTTTTAGCAATAAGTGATCCCAAAATACTTGTACCTTGTTGTAGATGATTCTATTGAAATACAGAATAATTGTAAGTTTTATAATACATGAAAAACCAAGTGATCAAACATGTTATTTTTTTCTCCGTCTTACGAAGGCTTCTTTTTTCAACATAGCATTATAGTGCCTTGTGTATATTAGGGTAATCATCTTCATCATGCATACAATCATTTATTCATTCATTCATACCTACATGCATCTCTTCATCCATACTGTAATATCATTTATCTGTATTCAATGTACTTGTACAGTTGTGTTTATAACCTGAAGAGTAAGTAAAATCAACAATTTTTTAATTGATATATTGGAAGCATATTAGCATTATATAGACAAATGCTTGCCCTATATCATAATGAAAATAACAAGAATTATTCTGTTAACACCTCTTGATAATTTGCTTCTAATGATATGCTTTGACTCTAAATGAATTATTATAATATCATCCTACAAAAATAAATGTATAAGTAGTACTGTTTCGTTGTTTTTATCATTACATTTGAAATACTCACTTCCCATTAAATACAAGTGATATAACAAATAATACACCTGTTTTGTGTCAATACTGATTATGAATGAATAACTGCATACTTGTAGACAACTTGTATTCACTAAGAAGCAGTGATAATACTAGTAATTGTTAAAAAGATAATAATAAACATCAGGAATGATGAATAAGTCAGCATGAGCTATTAAAGATAAAAACTTGTTTTTATGGAGATGTTACGAATTTGACCCATATGGTACCTTTATTTTTCGTAAATTTTATTTGTTGGATATTGATCAATGCAAGAAACAGAACAGAACTCCTGCATATTAATGATTTCACACAGAAGATTAGAACCTTGATTTCTGTTCTTTTTTCATATTTCCATCAGATGAAGGAAAAGAACCAGACAGTACAAGCAACACAGAAGAGCCTATGGAGAAGGTTGAAGAAACCCAGAAACAAGAGGATAAAGATACAGAAGAAAAGACACAAGATTCACAAAGGGCTCAAGAGAATGAAGAGGAAGACGTAAGGGAGAAGGATGAACCTGAAGAAGCCCAGGAAGCAGTTTCTAATAACAAAGATATGGAAGCAAGAGATTCAAATGCCTCTGAGGAGAAGCCTACCCAACCTGCAGAAGATGGCCAACAAGAAGATAAACTAAATGGTAATGGAGTGGAAGAAGAAGAAGATAAACACAAGGCAGACAAGGACCTTGGTCCTGATGGAGATGTATCAAATCAAGGACAGAAAGAGGAAGTGAAGGATATCCAAGAAGAGAGTAATCCTGATAGTGCTCCTGGCGAAGATGCTGGGAAGCAAGATAATGAGATTCAACCAGATTCTATCCAGCCAAGCCCATCATATGAAGTGATAGATGGCACCACTCTCTATATGAATGATTTGGAGCCGACACCTTTACCCCAAGAACTTCCAAGTAGAACAGAAACTGGAGAAAAATTACATGATATCCCAATTAGTGACAACGCTAATACATTTACAATGAGTGCTAGTGACATTGTAGATGTACCTAAAGTAGAGGAAAAACGTGATGAAAGTGGTCCTCCATCTAGTCTTTCTTTCAAGAGTGAGGATGATATTGATCCTGAAGCGTACAGAAACATCCTCAACAAACTCCATGCCAACCCTGAACTTAAGGACAAAGAAGGTGCCATCCAGCAGGAGATGCTCAAGATACTTCGTGACCCGGAGCTGAAGAAGAACTTACTTATGAAGACTCGAGAACCTAAGAAAGACATCTTGTCACCATTCAGCGCTCAACATTTAGCAGCTGGGGATGCTGTGCAAATGAATCAAGGACAAGGGCACACTCAAGATAATCTGGATCTAAAGAATATTGATGCCATGCTAGATGAAGCTACCAATCATTATTTATCTCCCGACAGTTCTGACGAAATTGTTCCTACACCCTCACCGGCTGCAGGACCGAACATTGTAGAAGGAAGACCAAGTAGCCCTCTTGATAAAGATGTTCAAGGAGATATCCATCCTGTAGATCCCTTATCTCTCTTACACAAAGAAGGCGTGGACACATCTCATTCCGATCATGAAAAGATTGATATTACAGCAGAGATTCCCAGATCCTCAGACCCTTCTGATGAACATCTTCAGCCGTCGATGCAACAAGTCCCTGATGATGCCTATGACCCTGTCAAACTTGCTGCCGAACTGAACACAGTTCAGGGGTCAAATCCTGATGTGATTGTTGATCCTGCTCAAAATGATCTCAACGATGATCCTGCCATGAAAATTTTAGAGGATCAGAAAGATTCAACAAAGCAGGACAGCCAAGAAGCTTCATCAAATGATTCTTTACCACCTTCAAGCACAGAGCAGGTAGAAGAAAAGGTAGAAACCAATGATGATCAAGAAGTTCCTTCTCCACACTTAGATTCCAATCTACCACCCGGTATGGATACCAGGCCAAATATAGAACAACTGACTGACAGCAGCTATGGGGAGCCTGGATTACGCACCGGCATACGGGTGAGTTGATGTTATATTTCTATGCATGTCAAGTGGTATCAGCACATTTTCTGCCTTTTTCAGACATCATGTGTTTTCATAAATACATGGGAACAGGTTTTCTAGGCTGTCAATTTTCCCCATGTATTTTCATTTCTTTATTTAAAATCATCCATTCTGAATGCAATATTTGTTTTTGTCTGATACAAAATGATCTCATTTCCTGTTCTCAAGTTTACCATAGTTACTTTCCATTACATTTTTTACCACATGTACATATAGGTGACATTTTAATCCTGCTGTATGGGACTATAATATCATCCATGTCATCTTTTCAGAATTCATGGGAACAGGTTTTCTTTGCTATCGCTCTTTTTTATTTATGTATTCATTACATTATTTTAAATCCTTCTGAATACTATATTTTTTATGTCATATAAAGTAATCTCATGTCCTATTCTCAAGTTGACTATAGTTTATACTCACCATTGCAATTTGTCACCATGTCAGGGTAAGATAATTGTTTGTTTAAAATGCAGCCACATCGCTGCATCACTGGTACAGAATTGTTAAGGTAGAGTACATTTAACCTGCCTAGAGGGACTAGGATGTTTCTTGTTGGTAGCGGGTCCACACAGTTAAGTATGCCTTTAACCATTCACTGATTAGTTTCCTCTACAGGTTGATGAAGAAACCCCAGGGGATGATGAGGAGGACCCAAACCACTACCATCCCGTGGATGAGGAGGTGGAGCAGGAGAGACCCAATGATGCAGTCCCTGATACAGGTACCCAAGAAGAGGACAGCCACCAAAGAGAAGGCTTCCATCATCAAGTCTACACTAAGGAGGAGAACGAAGAGCTTCAGGATGATGGGGTTACGATAGAAGAGGTACCGGACCACCAGGAGGAGCCGGTTGAAACGAGCCAGGGAGGTGACTGGCTTGGAGACATGATTAAGAACCTGGAGCCAGCTTTAGAAGCAATGAATCAGTCCATCCTCAAGCCCATGTTTGAAATGGTAAACATTTATTGAAGGAAATGTGTTACAGAAGTAGATGATGATTAATGCTCACAGACTTTGGAAGATAGCATCTTTATCTTGTCACTATGGAATTGACTTTGTATGGCATAAAGTTTAAAATCTAAGGTAACACTGTCTTCAGATTTGTACCCATCCCATATCCCATTCCATCCCATAGTCTCTTCATGGGTCTTTCTGTTGCGACTGTAGACAAATAATGTGATAGTTTATAACTGCCCCCCCCCCCAGATTTTTACTGTTTGTTGATGCAGTGATAGCTTTTGAGAATGTTAGATTGCTTCTGTTTGATCAAATTTAAACCAGGTAGAATACTGCAAATATATTCATCATCTTCTGCAGAAGGTTCAAACAATGGTAAATTTTCTGGCATGTGCATGTGTGATGTACAAAATGTACAAATTTGAAATTACATCTATTTTCTCTCGTCCAAAAGATCCAGTGAAGGCTTAGTTGTCTTTCATTTAATAACTCGTCTCTTTACTAGCCATGTATTTTAAACATTTCTTTTACTTCTGTAACAGTTCCCAACTGAGTTTCAGCGTGCCATACAGCAGCCCGATTTTCTTGGTATTCCATGGATGGTTATCATCATCTTAGAGGCTTCCATGTCCTTTTTCTTCATTCTTTTAACCTGCTGTTGGGTGAGTTGTGCTCAGTATCTTTTGAAGTGTGCAAAAATAGTGACAATTTGTGAACCATAAAGAGTATATTATCCGCGGAAGGCCCTATGTGTCTTTAAACATCTCTTATGCTTGTAAGATGAGGGAAATGCTTGCACATTTGTTAACGTCACTTCAATATTTCTCACACCTAGAGGTGGATGGGTCCATTTGCAGCTTTATTTTGTTATGATAATAATAACTTTCAATTTATTTAGCGCATTATAAGTAACACTTAATTCTCTATGCACTTTACATTTAAAGAGTACGCTTTAAAATCTACATCAACATATCTAAGAGGACATATAACGCCACTACACGCATACCGACACATCAAAACAAGAAAAGTTACACTACTGTAAGAAAAGGTGTGTCTTTAAGGCTCTCTTAAAATCATCAAGGGAAGATGTATTCCTGATCGTCAAGGGCAGAGAATTATCATGTGGCATGACAGATTGTGATTACAAATTTCTTTCCACCATATTTTGGTAACAACTTGTAGTGATCCAAGTTATCCATCTGGAAAATTCACTTCTTTGATGACAATCAGAATTTTAAAAATTTATTTCTTAAAGCTTCTGAACACTTTGACTGTATATTTTTTCCCCAATTTCTCCATCCCCATACAGATGTGCAGCACAAGGAGAAGCAGAAGTAAGTAAAGCTATGATTGCTTTAATCATTGCAAACATTCAAAATTGTTACCGGTTATGCCTTTTAAATTTTATGTGCAAACAGATATAGTCAACAGAAATCAAGTGGAAAGCTTTGTGTCTTGTTTCACTCTTGGTAGTGATGATTGGAAGAGAGTTCAGAAGGACTTAGGAATTCAGGTTTAAAGCAATTTTAGAACCTTTGGAATTCTTTTGAACGTTTCAAATTTTCTGGATTGTATGTACATGGAACAATCTTGAGGCAACATGGTTTATTTATGTAGGATGTAAACCTTAGGAAATTCTGTTAATTCGATATCCTTTGAAGGATGTACAACACTTGCTAGAATTGTAATGGGATGTTGTAGCTTGGTGTAAAATCTAGGTAAGGAAGTTTAATAGACAAAGGTCTAGTGTAGTGGTTTTCCTATATTTAACATGACTCTAGTCCTTGTGGTTGGTTAAACAGAATCAGTATTCAGGGCTTTTTCTTTGACAAAATAAAGCTGGGAGCAAGTCCCAGGAGCAAGTGTAGTCCAACACATTCTCCAGCATGTATTGGATCACTCTTCTAAATATGGATATCTCCTCTGTTTTATCTACTCCCAGGTATCAATGAGAGTCTAAGTCGTGAAGTCGACCTTCTCACGGCTCAGAAAGCTGAGGTCATGGATGCCCTTGACATGACCAACACTCAATTCCAGAAACAGAACCTAGAATACTTTGAGCTCAAGTCCTCGACTGAACGTACAGGCAGCGACAAGTCCAAGCTAGAGGTATTCCTCACAATGATATGTAGCTTAAAGTTCCTTTTATACATGATGTGACTTAAGTAGGTGTTTACTTCATTCATCATCCAATTGGAATATAATTACAATGAAAGAAGGTGTCATTTTGAAATATTCTGTGAGATATAAAGTACATTAATTTTGGATAGATTTTACTTAAATTTATTTCTTTGATCCAATTAGAGTAATTTCAATGAAAGAAAATGCAAGGAAAACTAATATATTTCTTGTAGTTTCTAATTCAATCAAAATATTTTATGTTTTCATGGATTTATTGAGAATGACATAATGTACTGATAATTGGACATATTCTATATAGCATGTTATGATCTACTTGGTGACTTTTGACTATCTCTCGTATGGTAACATTCTGCTTCTAAGAATCACCATTTATTTCGTCTACAGACAAAATACAAGGAGGTAAACCAAACTTCTAAAGAGCAGCAACAAGAGATTGACCAGATCAAAGCAGCCCTTAAGAAGAAAACAACGGAGAATGAATCCAGTCAACAGAAGGTAGAATATTGTTCTAAATTACTTCAGTAAGATAAGATGAATGTCATTAATAATAATCCCCATCGATGCCAGTTAAAGATCCTACCTGATTAAAATACAATTTTATATCAATGGAAAGCTGAATGAATGTAGAATGGAAATAGAAAGGAGTACAAAATATTCTCCTTTTTAGTAATGCTAAACTGCAAACTCAAACCCCATTTTCCGCACTCTTCCATATTAAGGGTCAACGGGTCAAATTTGCAGTAGTTATGGTGACGACATAACATCTGGACCCGATCGGCTTGTCTATATAGCTGAGGCGATGAGCCGTGCTTAATTAATGCAAATTCATTGTGAATATGTGTACTCCACATAAGATGACAGAAACTAAAATAGCATATAATTGATATTATTATAATCTATGGCTTAAAAGCTTTCTGTTGATATATTATTCATCAATTTCATTTTTCACTTACGACTGGGTCTTTAAACATTTATATATTTTTTAAATACAGGATTCTCAATAACCAATTGTTTTTAATGTTGGGTTTATTTTTATGCTTATAGCTTTGGAGAAAAAAAACATGTATTCTTGTTTAGAAACATGGAGTGTTGCGAATGATATTTATATGATAGTCTGACTGACAAAAATGAAGTAATATTTAGAGTAGTTTAGTGTATATGCAGTTTGTGAAATTCTATAGTCCCATTTCTTTATATACAATTAGTGTTTTTACTAGTTACTAGATGTTAATATAAAGTTTACCACTCCTACTATTGCTTAGTATGGAGTCACTTAAATTGCATAGTATTTTGTAAGACTTGTTTAAAATTGTGGTGGTCACATATAGTTAAATTGCACATGAATGTAGTAGATATCTAAATGTTGACAGTTAAAAAATGTTTTGGCAATGCATATTGAGTTATTTACATTGTTGAGGTCAATATGTATTTATATTGTTTTTGTGTTGCAGGTTAAATCTTTGGAGCAACAATTGAAGAAGTCACAAAAATCAGTTTCAGAATTGAATGGTCGAGTAAAAGATGTAAGTTGTGCAAATTGAATCAATACTCCTTTTATCTGTGAGGTAGAAGTGAAATTGAAAGAAAAGGACAAAAAGACATCCCTTACCTTATTGATTGTTATTATTTCTCTCGTTTCTCTCATTATAACTCACATGTACTTACCCAGGGCTATCCCATAGACAGATTTTATTAATATCCATCTAGATTGTTAAGTTAAATCATATTTGTTGTTATTGTATTTCACCCGAATGGAGATCAAATGATGTTTTGTTTGTGAATGGAAGGTGCAGCTTTTTCATGAACATGCAGTTTGATTTACATGTAAAAATCTAATTTTATTCATGTAGATAATTGATATACTCTGTAAAATAAGAATAGAGACCATCATGGAAATGTTTTTGTGTTTGAAATGATTTAGTGTCGGCAAGTCCAAGATATTTTGTTCCATACTTTGAGTTGATAGCCTTAATATAGCTACCGTAGCTATATTATCAAGGGTTATGATTATTTTATACATCAATCGTGTTCACTTTTCAACAAAACTTGGTAATGTATAGGACATAAAATGATGAAAAACTTGAGCCTGTACAAGTATTAATATGAATGTGGTTTGATGACTTTGTTACTTCACAGCTTCAAGGAAAGGAATATGCTGGTGAGGAAGAATGTTCCCATCTCAAGCACAACATCACTATATTAGAAGAACAGAATCAACAACTTGACAGCAGCAAAGAAATGGTAAGATACCAGTCTTCTCCATCTTACCACTTTCTTAGTATTTCAAATTGGCCAGCTTAACGGTATGCTTTGAATAGCAAAATAGCCAATATCTGCTAAATGGCATTACAACAATTTCTGCTAGGATAGGAGCAATGTATTATGTCTTCCAAATCTTGATGTAGTATAGTAGTATGTGTACACATTATTTTCCCACTGAATCATAACTGTGTTTGACCATGTTTTTACAATTTTTACAATTCATTTTCAGTCACATTCGCAATAACTAATGTAAGAAATTCCATTTTCGCTATGTATGTAGAAAAACTTGACACAGAATTTCTGATTCATGAATTGAGGATATTTTTCTTAACTTTGTTTTCTCAAAAGCTTGAAGATGAAATTAAAGGATGGCATGAAAGGTGAGTGACAATATCATTTATGACTTTTTTGAGCTTTAGTGAGCATTATTAAGAATGTAAAATTGCATAGGAATACACTTTTGATATACTGCATTAATAATTGCATTCTTCAGGTTGCCTAATCTAATGCATGCAGCTGTTGGGATTGACTTTGAAATTACAGTTTGCATTTAACTGATGTGAATTTGAGTGATATGCAGGATATGGATGATACATCAGATATTCAAGCATATGAATAACTTCCAAAACTTGAAGAAAAAAAAATTATTTCAACATTACTTTGTAATAATTCTAATTGAAACCTACATGGAAGGATAAAGTATATATAGGGGATCTAAGCTTTGTGTTCACTGGAAGTTGTCATGATAGATTATATGTAGTAATGTCTTATTGTAAATTGGGTTGTTTATTCAATTTAGTATTTGTCATCAATTGTTTTCAATCTTGCAGAGTCTCGGAACTATCGGAACAGATTAAGTTGATGACAGCAGAGAAGAAGGACATGGATGAATCATTAACATACAAAGCTAATGAAATAGAAGTAAGTCTCAGAAATACTACAAGGAAAAAAGAATATTAATTCCATATCATGAAAAAGTCCTTATAGGTAAAATTCACATCTCTTACATTTTTAGCTTATCAACCAATTAGTCTTAACCCTGAACATGTTTACCAAAGACATGAATTGTGATGAAAATTGGTGCAATCAATTGTCCTATGAATTTCTTTAATGGTATTACATTGGAAGAGTTGATATTAGGATGAACAGAAAAATGGCTGCGCAGAAAGAAAGTATTTCAGAATATAAATAACATTGCACTTGAAATAGTTGTTCTTTTCTGCATTGATCTATTGGATTGGAATTTTGTCACGTCGGTTCATTTCCTTGCTGCTTTAAAAAAATATATATATAATATATATATATATATATATATATATATATATATATATATATATATATATATATATATATATATTGATAGAATATATTGAAATATTGAAGGAAAAAAAAAGATACATTAATTTTGTTTATTGTGTATGTTATAACAGGTATTGAAGGATTGTCTACTACAACTGAAAGGAATAGAAAATATTCAAAAAGAAGGACCAGGTAAGAACAAAATATATCTGTCAACAAATATCTTTATCAACTTGATATTGTCAGAGTACTTTTATAATCTCATATCATAAACTATTTGTGTATTTTGAAATGTGATCATATACTGTCCATCTGTTCAATACAAGAGTGGTATTACTTCAACTCTGCTGTTAATTTTATTAAAAAGCTTTTGAGAAATCTTAAAATTGCAGGATATTCTTGATATATTTGATAAAATGAAATAAGGTTTACTTCATGGTTCATATAAACATTAATATTATGATATCTCTCTCTTGTCTTGTCTCTTTATTCACAGAGGTTGACTCAGAATCTAGAATACAACAGCTTATGGATGTCACAAGAGTAAGAAAACCCTTTTCTCTTTTGAGATATTGATTGAAGTGATGTTGAAATTCAAATCCTGCAATATTTCTATATTTTTGCTTAGTTTGCTTCTGCATATTTTTTGGAATCCATATATGTTGCTACTGAAATTTTCAACAGGCAAGTGTCTCCCCATTTTGGATATCAGAAAACTGTACATTTGCGTTAAAAAGAGCTAGTCTTTCATTATGAATATGAAAAGTAGTGTCTGTTAATACCAAGAGTATGTCCCTTTGTCGCCTCCATAAATACTGCACAAAGGAGCATACTAAACTGTACATGTATGTCCTATCCTAAATTTTAATACTGTGATGCTTTTTCACATATTTTGTGTATAAGATGTTCAACTTTGCTGGAGCAGCATGGTTCATCCAAGAGTTATGTAGTTTTATCCGCCAGGGAAATAATATCCAAACTACATGTAGACATTGTTTCATATAGTCTATATGTGATATACAAATGATAATAATAATAAGTATTATTATTATTGTTAGTATTGTTATTATATACTATTATTAATTACCTTATTATCCCTTTCCATCAGGTTAATGCTAAGCTCTCCTTGATTGAGAAGGAGCGTGATGAGGTCCAGGAGAGGTTAGACCAGGAGGTGAAGTGTGGTAGGGAGCTTGAATCACAGGTAGGGGCGCTCAACCATGAGATTGATGCCCTCCGCATGGAACATTCCAAGGCTAAGAGCACCCTGGGTGAAACCAAGACAAAGATGGAGGTCCTCCAAGAGTACTTCAAGGGCAAGGAGGTGGAGCTACAAAGGTAGGAAGAGATCTTACTGTCACACAGTTATATCTGTTTGACCTCCTTTTGAACTTTATGATGTATCCAACAAATGTGGTTATTATGAAATATATGATTTTTAATACAACGCAACGTTATGACTTATCTCACTCTGTCAGAAAAGACTCTGAGGTCCATTACAAGCATTCAGAATACTTGTTTACATATTTTGCTGATGGTGTGTAGGGTTTTATAACTGCTCAATTTTTTTGTTTAAAAAAAATAAATTCTGTTTTTGAGAATGTAGCAATGACTTTGTAATAAAACTAGTAGATTGCATGTATGCTTAAAAAAAGAGGTTGTGCTTAAATGGCACATAAGATTCTGAAATGTAGCATCAACATTTTTTTTCTCCATATGGTTTGCAAAACATTAAGTGTTGATACAGTTACTACTACATGATAATAATTTCCTCAAAAAGTTTGCACTCTGACTTGCCATTTCTGTTTCATATTTGTATAACGTTACAGGAAACTTGGAAGAGAGGAAGCCTTGAAACTACATAGTGAAGAACAGCTGACATCACTGAGTGAGAAGGCAATCAATTCTGAAGTAGACTTGAATAATTACAGGTAAGCTGCTTTGACAAGTTGAAAACTACCTCTCTACAAAAGTACTAACACATTGGCACCCGCATACTGAAGTGTTACCATTAACTTGTTACTGAAAGAAACAGTAGAACACTTACTGATTAAAATAGTTTCAAAGAGATATGTAACAACTGTATACAGGACCACACTATATTTAATACATAACCGTGTTTGGGGAATTCCTGCGTATGTTACGTGGGAGACCTTATTATTCAAGTCCTCATATTTGTATGTCTGCTGGAATAGCATGAAAATATGTATGACTGTTTGTTTGTTTTTTGTTTATCTTTTGTGGGGGACTAGATGTGCTACATGTTTAGCACCATATGAATACACTGTTTGTGATTTTTCTCTTCTTGGCTACTTTCTGTTTTTTAGACAACAAATTGCAGATCTGAAATCAGAGTTGGAGAAATCAGAAAGAAATTATAAAACCCAGGTGAGCTTTGTTGATGTATTCATTTTTATTCTTATGTTAGCACTTCGGATATCGTGATTTTCTACCATTATATTTTTTAATTTATTTTGAATAATTCCGCTAAATGATAATGCTTCAGAGAGTCAGATGGTGTCTATCTCTTTAAAAACATGAACATTTAACTAGTCACTGTCAAAAATTGAGGGAATTAAGGAAACATTTAATTCTTGCATGGGAGCATATAACATATTGCAAAATGTTATTGTCTTTTAAAAGTAAATGTGTGCTATTATGTATCAGTGGTATCATTCAAATAGATGTATGTGTTCATAATCAAACAATGTTTTAATTCTTCTTCTCATACCTCTAGATTGGTGCCCATGAAAAGAAGACACATGAACATTGGGTAAGTAAAGAACATTGTCACTAAAAGGAAAAATTAATTGTGAAAATAACTTTTGTCATGTACTGAATGATATCCTACATATTATTCAAGTTGGATTTTAAATAGAAATTATATTGAAAGACTTTACTTTTAAATTATATGTAAGAATGAATAGAATCATATCAAGGAAAGTTCACTTTTAGTCAATATTTGGAGGTTAATTATAATATATGACGTATTGTTATATAAGATGATACAAAAACATATTATTTTAATACCTGTACACTCTTTTCTCTCTCTTGTTTACCAGCTTTCCTCTAGAACAGCCGAAAGAGAGCTCCAAGAAGCTAAGAGGGAGGCTGCTTCATTAAGACACAGGTATGGATGGTTTGATCTGCTATCATATCAGTGAATATCTCTCTTAGTATACTGTGAAATCATTTCCTGTTGTGAATATCAAGAGGGATTCAGATTCATTAGAGGTTCATGCTGCAAGTATTTGACTCTCAATACCGTATCTTTTCAGTTCAGAAAAGTGTTTTGCCTCGAAATGGGCATTGTTAACAATTCATGAAACCAAAGATTTGTTGTAAGCACTTCAGTTGTGATAATTATGGTTTTAGAGATGCATAACACAGATGATCAAAATTTCATCACAAGCTGAAGCATCTACAAGCATTTGTCACTAATTTCTTGATATCTAAAGATAGGTGTGCAATTTCAAATTTTATACAGATTAACAGAGCTGGAAGGAAGACGAGCAACTTCAGAAAATGCACCTCTTGTCAAGCCTCAGGCAGCCGCACCATCACCTATGAGTAAGTACACAGGTTGAAGATCAGTTGACAAGACACTTGTCCACCCTGGCATCAGTAGCCTTAAAAACAGACAAATGACATGAAAGAACCAATTCAGTGACTTTTTGAGGAATTTCATTGAAGGATAAGGCTATTATTGAAATTTGGTTATGAGTCAAAGTTATGAACAAGAAAAAAGGCAACACTTGAAAATTGTTTTTAATTCTGATCATGAATCTCTTCGTACCAATAGGAGGATATTTATAAACAATGATACTGGATTCAAATTTTTTTAAAGGGATAATTGAGTTCTGTTTTCAGACCGCAAACGCCTTCAAAATGCATGGTTATTGTTCTTATTCTTATCTATGACATTTCTAGTGCTCTTTTAGAACCTAAAATTGCTACGAAGGTAATTTTAGACCCCAAAGTGTGTGAAATTTAGCCAATACGAGCATACCAATTCAGCTCCACTTAAAAAACAAACATGGTGACCGTGAATTAATTATTTAATCAAAAATAACAATACATGGGCCGGCTGGTTGTGCATAATATAAGCAACACGAAAATGCCAACCAAAAAGCCAACATCAGCATTGGCTGAAATACGACGTAAAAGGCGTTATTTTCTTTTTTCAACGGTTTTCCAACGTTTTTTTCAAATTTTTCAATATATCTAATATTTGTGGTGGTACACAAGTATTAGAAATTATATTTCAGCTGTCTCTGAACCAATTTTGATCAAACAAAGATGATTTTGTCATTTAAATATTATGTTCTTTCAAATTTGACACACAGTTTTTCATTATCTCACAAAAAAAATAATTGTGTAGCACCCTCTGCAACGGAACTCAACTATCCCTTTTTTTAAACTGTGGGATGTCAGTTGCAAGTGAAAAGTGCTTTGTCAAATTTTTGATCATCACCATGGTTCTGTATTTCCTTACTTCTCCTTTACCTTCTCCATTATGATTAGTAATTAGTTACATAGATATGAAACGCTATTAGCTTTATGATGTATTAGGGAGTACTGTATTATCACATTGCACTGTAAAGTGACAGTGATTTTGATGGTATGGCTGCACAAACATGTACATAATATTATTTGTGATTTTTATCAGATTATAAGAGAGGATATTTTGATATGCTAAATTTTGTTAATTATCACTTTTCCTCCCAAACAGGAGTAGTGTCTCCTTCATACGGACCAGGGTGAGTATGAATAGACTTGAGGAAAAAAATTATAAAATTGCATCCCACCATTGTGTGAAATTGATCAGATTAAAAATGAGTATGCCAACAATTTAATGAGTGAAGTATCCTTTAAAGACTGGATTCATAGAGTTTAGCCTAATTATTCTGTTCTAATTAAGAGTAATATAATTTTTAGGCTCATTTTACAAGCCTACCAAAAAAACCATTCTTAAATCATATCTCAAACAACATTAATATCGAAAAAACTAAGTGTCAATTACGTACAATTCTAATGTCAATGTAGTTTTATAAAGTAACAAAGCATTTCTTTTTATTCATACTTTTTGTTTCTTTTCCTTTCCTTATTCAACAGTGACAGAGGCAGCAAAATGTCTAGGAGAGGTATGTATTTATTCCCTCTATTGTCCATGTATTCAATGACTTTGACTTTAAAAATGTATGTTTCATTTCTCCTTAAATTTGAATTCTATAAGTTAGTACCATTTTGCATGCCTGTATTTGATTGGGTCTGACAGCCTTATAAAAGTTTTTATTTGTAGCCAATGGTAATGTTATATTTCATACAGTGCATATTGTAAAGTACTATATGTCAGATCTCTCTGTGAAAATCAATGCTTACATTTAGCATTTAGATGTACATTGTTGTATGCCCATGCCAGGAAGATAAATTATGATTTAGCGAATACTTTCTTGTAAGATTGGATGATTTTTGAGGAAATATAAGTTTAATGTGATCATATTGCAGAGAATTGAGAAAATTGTATAAATATCAGCTTCAATGAAAGCAAGCTCATTTGCTGCATGTCTGTCTGCACAGGTCCAAGCAGGAACAGCATAATAGATGGAGACGCTCCATCACCACCATTAATCGACCCTCGTCATAGAGGTTCACCAGGATCTAGGCCCAGAATGTCCCCGCCCATGATGGACCGAGACATGCCCCCACCCCATCCTGATGACTACCTCCCTCCAATGCACCACCGTGACATGGGCCCCTCCCCATACAGAGATGTCCTGCCACACCACCCAGACTTTGGTCCACAGGGTCCAGGGCCTTACGATGATCCCTACGGTCCTCCACCCGACGGCTTCTCTCCACATTTTGGACCTCATCCTGATGATATGGGTTTTGGACCGCGTGGACCCCCACCAGGGAACTTTGGTCCCCCGATGGGATTTCCTCCGCCAGGGAGGGGAGAGTTTGATCATCATGGTCCTCCTCCACCAATGGATCCTGGCTTTGACCCCATGTATGGACCACCACCACCCCATGGAATGGATCCCATGATGGGTCCTGGACCATTTCCAGGAGATGGTCCACCTCCCTTTGACAGAAGAGGCCCTCCTCCTCCAGGTTAGTGTTCTAAAATTAACACAAAACTGAGCTGACAAGGAATAAATTCTTACTTCATAAGTGAAAAAGATATTCCCTATTTCTTGAAATCCATGATTAAAGCTGAAATTCACATATTTTGATCAATGTACTGCAATTCACCCTTCCCTTATAATTTATTTGATGTAAAGTGAATATATGAACATGTTATACCACAATGGCACTTATTTTTTGTGTGAAATCAAATTCAAGAGAAGAACACATGCTGGATTGTTGTGATTGGCAATCTCTTTTTTAATGTTTCTATAATGAGTTATTTCTCACATTAGTGACCACAAATATTTTTTTGTCCAACAATCAATTTGTTTTTTGTTTTTTTTGTTAATATGCTTAAATATGTAAATAAGTATTGAATATGTTTCAGTGTTGATTTATTTTCACTATTTTCTATATTCAATTTCAGGCATGAGACCAGGAAGTAGAACAGGACCTCCTGGTCCACCAGATGGTCCAATGGTTGGTCCTAGAACATCATCCCCAATGGTTCCACCTGGTGGCCAGCGGGTAAGAACTATTCCCCCATCAAATCAATACCATACATGTACATGATGGCAGCATAACAATTTTGAACTATGGGATCAGTATGTGACCATAGAAAAGGAGAGAAAATTGAAAGTATATATACGGTAGCAGCCTCTCAAAATTAGAAATGTTAATGTACCGGTACTTTGAACAGTGATATAGCCTTAATAAAGAAATTAATTCTAACTGAATCTTTCAAAATCATCACCACATATTTTCTATGCCTGACTGAATAGCATCTGCTAACTACTGATGAAAGTTGATATGTAAGTACTTGCTGAGGACTGATCAAACCAATTAAGACATTTTATGTAGTGTTGGACTATCTAGTTCACACATATTTTGTCTACCTGCAACATTGTCCCATACAGACATATCCATTTTACTTTTTTTCAGGTAATGTGATTTCAGCAATTTTTTAGCTGGCCCACACTTTACTATTTTGTAGTTACGTTAACTTGATATGGAGCTTCACTGTGAGTCCCCAAAAATAGTTTTCAAATGGTCTACATAATGTTTGTATGTTCTGTTTCGTTTTCTTTCCAGGGGCCAAGAGGTCAAACTCCTAGACAGCCTTCTAATATGCAGGCATAAGAGTGCTGTTTGGAAAGACCCAGATGTTATCCTCATAAGCAGCTTCTGCAACATTTAGAAATAATAAAAACTGAATGTAGCCAAGTGATGAAATGGAACTCATGATGAGCAGCTAAAGTTCCCATTTATAAAGAAAACATGGGGGAGGACAGGAATAGGAGTTTCTGTTAAAATATCATGGTTTCAGCTCATGTCATACATTCTTATTATAAAAACTTGGATGGGAAAGGTTTACTCAATAAAAGAATATGTTGATATTTAATCATTCTGGTGTTACTGGGAGAAATTTCAAGGGGGGGAATAGTTTACATTGTGAGGAATTTGTAATTATAATACAGGTAATTCAGTTAGAGAATGGGAAAAAGAGAATTATGGATAGTGGTTAAAGTATTAAAAATTTGTGCTACATCATTTTATAGGAAATATTTTTCTTATGATCTCTACCAGTTTGCTCTTGCATGTCTACTTGGCTCTCAGACTATCTAATAGATATTGTAAGTTGCATTTTTTATGTTTAAGTACAAGCTCATTTTGTAGTTGCCCTAGTCCTATGTTGACAGTGAACTAGTTTTTCTGTTAATTTAAAGACAATATACGTCTACGGTAAATCAATCTTGTTTAAACTGATATAAAGACCTACCCTTGTCTGAAAAAAAGATAGTGAGAGTAGTATTTCAAAATATAGTTACCTGAAGAAGAAAAAAAGAAACTTGATTGTGTAGTCCTTGTCTAATCATGATAATATTTTAATTCTCATAATTATAAGATGTTTTTAAATATATCTAGGTTTGCATAATGCTTATGTTAGTAAAAGTAATGTAGTCCCTATGACCTGTGTATGAGATATTTTGTGTATCAGATTGAAAGTGCAATGAAGATAACTCTAGCTCAAGTTGATGAGCATATTTCACAGTATTGGACATGCTACCGCTTATGACATTGCCATTATAATCATCATTTCTAATATGAAATAATGTAGATGAAAATAGAAAGCCTGTGCAAACATCTTTTTTGGATTCATGTATTCACCTCAGCTGAAAAGAAAGATGATTTAGATTTACAAGCTTTGCATGAAGATACCTGTAGAAATGCTCTGATTTAGCACTAAGTTACTCTCACAGACTTTATTTAGAGTTCTGTCAACAACAAAAACATATTCTACCCCATAATGAAATATAACGACCATCCCATTTGTTAAATGAATGATTGTGCCAAATTAATATTAATCTAGAATGCTGTTCAATATTCTAAAATTTTCACATTTGTTTTCTTCAGAAATATGGTGCTTAAGTAGATTAAAGATAAACATTAATGTTTGTAGTATTTTTGATAAGGATAATACTTTAGGAGTATCAACCCTGCCCATCCTAGCCTTGCAGCTCTTTATATATGATACATAAATATATTCAGATAAATGTATTATTTTATGGAAAGGAAAAAGCAATACTTTAATGAGAATATGCGTGTATGCACATTGATATACTTGTGTAACAGCTTACATGTAGTAGAAATAATGGATGAGCACAACTTATTTGTCACTATCTCTTTCATCTTGATGTTGTGTTATCTTCTTTCGTCGTGCATATTTTCCAGAGAAAATATTCATAATGCTATTAGTTGAAGCATTCTTTACTGGTAATGTTTAAATATTGAAATAAAGAGATTAAATCTCAGATATTGTTTGCTTCAGAATTTGTTTAAGTGTGTGTGTGATATATAATCAGATATAATTAAATATCTCACTTCAGGGGCATTGCTAGAGGGGGTGTGAGGTGTGACCCTTCCCCATTTATTTGTTTCCCCTGCAAATTTTCGAATTTTAGATAATGGATAATGGGTGGGGTATTAACTTGTCATCTCATTGCTCAAAGTGTGAAGAACATTAATGTAAGCAATCAATTTTTTTTTGTTATAGTGGGTAGATGCAAAGTACTCAAGCCTCATGAATTATCAACATAACAAAAACTCAAGCCTCATGAATAATCAACATATCAATAAACAGTATTCCATAGCTAATACATAGTTTGTAGGCCCACCTCTTAACCATTATTGTAATATCCAAATTCCCTTCCCCCTTAGAAATAATTGCCCATTATGCCACTTGGTGGTGATGCCCCCCCTCCCAAGTTTTTGCTCATTATGCCACTGCAGAAGTATGAAGGGTTCTTTTCTTTTTATCTCTCCAAAAGTATAACTGCAAATACAGATACTTCTATTTCCACAGTAACAAATGTGCTTTTCAGCAATTTTTTAATAAATGTGCATTGGTTAAAAAAAAGTACTACACCAAAATGTATATATTTAATCTCTTTATTTGGATAAAAAATGAAATGAAAACTCATATCTGCTGTTTGAAAAGAGAGAATGAAAGGAACAACTTGAACCCCATCTGTATACAGAAAGAGAGAGAGAGAGAGAGAGAGAGAGAGAGAGAGAGAGAGAGAGGGGGGGGGGGGGGGGTGGGGAGGGGAGGAGGAAGAGAGAAAGAAGAAACTGTTTAAGTTATGAGTAAAAAAAAGTATTACTATTAATATGATAGAGGGAATTGCATGGTGAAAATAATGAGAGATGAAAAGAACAGCAAGAAAGAGAGACACAAAGAGTGAGCCGGAGAGAGAGAGAGAGAACTGTTTAAGTTATGAGTAAAAAAATATTACTATTAATATGATAGAGGGAATTGCATGGTGAAAATAGTGAGAGATGAAAAGAACAGCAAGAAAGAGAGACACAAAGAGTGAGCCGGAGAGAGAGAGAAAAAAAAATTGAAAGAGAGAGAAAATGGGTATGAAGAAGAAGTTTATAATAGGGACAGTAAAGATAGTGCGAGATAAGTGCCAGCAAAACGAATGTATAATTAAATGTATTTTTAAGATAACAGACGTAGCATTCTGTATTGAGAATTTGCCTGATATGATTAACCCAATTTACATCGGAGTTTATGTAAATTAAGTGTTAGCTATAGGGCTTTGATTTCTAAGGTTTTATTCTTATATGGATTATATGATTAATATTATGCTTGATGGACTTAAATGGCTGTGTAAATGAACGGAAAACTGCAACATATAATGTTGTTTTTGAACAAAAAAATACAACAGATGAAATGTTGACAATATATCTTAGCCCTATTTACAAAGGAATTCTAACAATTTGATTTAATATAAACGCATCAGAATCATAAAAAAGCATCAGACGCTTTGAAAGGGATTAAATAGTTTAAGGGATATTCTTAATAACTCTTAGGAAAAAATAAGACACATGCTCCTCGTGCAGGGGCCATTCCTTGTTATAATTCTTTAGCCTATTTTTCTTATTTTAATGAAATATGTGGCGCTATTGATATGATAATTACTTACTGGTACTAGTATGGGGAAAACCCGTTATGTATGGAGCAATGATGAAATACATAATAACAGATCAGTGTGAATTCAACTGTAACACCACGACTGCTCAAATTGCTGAAGAAACTAATACTTTAATATTTTAATATTAACATAGGTGATGCATTTGGAAAAGTATTCTTTCATTTTACTTCACTTTATTTTCAAAGATGTGCCACGCCTTTTCTTCATGTATTTCCCTAAGATATTGGTTTGCGCATTATAAATTATAGGTTTAGCGCCCTCTTCAGGTAAAATCTCTAGTCATAATTTTGGACATTCATCGTATTCCCACGAAGGGCTAGGTCAAGATATTCTACATGTTATGTGGGATTTCGAAGGCAAAGCAAGTATTAGCGAAAATCTTAGTAACATTTTCGTATTGAGATTTTAAATAACATCGCCTTACATGTTGTTTGCGTGTGAGAATGTCGTCATTTGATCGTAAAATTTGATGTGTTTGGCCAGTTAGCGATCGAAGTTTCACTAGACGGACCCTCTGCACTACACATGCGTGACGTCACGCGCTGCAATGGCTGCAGCTGTGGGATGGAGTGTTGAGGAAGATGGAAGTCTTTCTGTTGATGAGCAGACTGTTGGTATTGCATATCACCCCAGGCTAAATACTGTCTTGGCAGTAACTGCAGAACCAAGTATCAAAGTTTTGGATGTCAACTCTGGTGTCATCCTTAAGAAATCATCTTTATCAGGTGAGAAAGTCAAGTGAAGTCACGTCGGTCTGACGTTGACCCTAAGTATCTCTAATTCTCTCTTCTGTTAGGTCTAACTTTAGTTAGACTCGTTCTGAAATTGAAAATATGATTCTGAATTGTGATTATGAAGGGGTGACCAAAGTTCGCGCACATTTTAGAACATATTACAAAATGTGATATTCGATCTATGATTTCTCACATTCTACACAACTTTATTTATTTCAATTATTACCAAATGGACGGCAAAGTTTTTTTACTACAGATTGGTTCAACTAGAAAAATTTACCGTCGAAGGATTTCGGAGATATCGCGATCTAAAAATTCGATGTCCGATCGTGCGTGCGCGCTGCATCTAAAAAAGTCATAAAAACAATGAGACCTAACTTCACGCACGGTGGTTTACAGTTGATTTATCAAAAAATGTGATCCATCAAAAATAAGGTAATATCATAATTTGCAAGACAAGATATCGTACAATCAGTTAGTACCACTCTTACAATTTTGAGGATTTCTGATCTCAAAATGAAGATTTCCAGACCATTATCGGTAAGTTGATAATTTTTCGGAACGGACGCAAATAACTGCAAAATTTGCCGATCTTTTGTCAATATTTTCACAGTTTCGCACCCAATTCTAAAGAAAATTTCGTTACTGGGTAATTTTATGACCCTCTTTCCATTGGTGATATCAGATTTTAGAAATCTTACCGATTTTTTGAGAAAGCGAACTTTGGTCACGCGCGAACGTTGGTCACACCGCCATACATGTTCAGTGACAATATTGTGCAACCATCTTCTAACTCTTTATGATGTTAATTATTTTGGTACATGTCCATAGGTCTATTTCATGTGTGATTAAACTTATTGCAATAGAAAATCTCAAATATTGAAATTAAAGAATTTAGCTGGAGAAAAAAAATGAAAGTCACATATTAAGACGTACGGGGGTGTGCCGCTCTAATGGGTCACTTTGTAACAAAAATATCCCTAAACATGGGTCTGTTTGTTCAAAATTTGTGTGTGTTTGCACACAAAGCAAACACCCAAAAATTGTGAAAAATGGGCGCTTATTTTGAGAAAAATGACTCTTTAAAAATGGGTAGGGGTTTTGAGGCTTCAGCAGCACACCTCCCACCAAACCAGATCTGAGAACCCCCCCCCCCCCCCCCCCGGGACCTTTACTCGTGTATGAGTGTTTACAATTGATTTATTCAAAAAAGCAATCCATCAAGTCTATGATAATTGCATAATTTGCAAGGCAAAATATCGCCAAATCAGTTGGTATTGCTTTTTATTTAAAATTTCAATGAAATCTTCTCTTGATATTAAGATTCCTAGACACTTTTTGGTAACTTTGTTAAGTTCTCTCAGAAGGTACCAAAAGACAGCAAATTTGCTGATCTTTTGTCAATATTTTCATAATTTCACACCCATTTTCAAAGAAAAGTCTGGGTAACTGTTGGTTCCTCTTTCCATTGGTGGTATCAGATTTTTGTAATCTTACCAATTTGTTGAGATAGCGAACTAAGAACACACAAACTATGGTCACACCACGATTCAAATGTCAGTTGGCTGGCAATTGGCCAGCGAGGCTACTTGCGCCAGCGGCAGATCTGCTACCCAAAAAAATACCAGGACTCAAAAAAGTTTGTGTTGATATATGGTTGCTAGCAAAATGAAAATAACTATAATCGATAACTTTCGACGAGAGAATTCTAAATGCAATAAAAGATAATATATGAGACCTACAAACAAACCTCTGGAGATCTCTAATGACCATACAAAAGCTGTTTTATTTCTCCATTTTACATAATTGTTTTCTTGATCCTTTGAGCCATTTTTTCAAGCTTGAGTCATTGCAATCTATGTATTACGCAAGTTTGAACATATAAGGATTAGGGAGAACTTGCGTACCTTATATCAAATTCTTGCCAAAAAACCAAGAGTGATTTTGAGGCAGTGAAGAAAATTTGTGCTTCAGTGCGTAGCTATACACCTAAAAGAAACTAAGGTAAGCGCACCTGAATTTTCAGAAAAGATATTTTTATCATTGATGGTATTTGCCACTTTTATACTCCAGAAACTTGGTAGATTAGCAGGAACAAATCACAACTATGACAATTTGTTGGTGATTTCTAGGATAATGTTTTGAACAAAATATTGGTAATGGAACTGCTGTATCTCTTCTTTAACTTGCATGTTATTTTTAAACTAATTAAAGATAAGATGGTTAGGGGCAATACAGGATAGCACTATAAAAAAAGAGACATTTGTCAACCTTGCCATATCCATGATGTGGGCTGCTCAGTGCTAACTCATCGCAAGAGGGGCATTCATTTTTTGTATGTGTGCGATAGCGCCATCTAGTACCGCGTGAACGTGCCTACCGTAACATTTATACATTTGAATAATTTAAGTTTTGATGAAAAAATGAAAGTATTAACAAAAGGTCAGTACAGGATGTATGTTTTTTTAAAATGTTTTTGTATTCATGCTGAAAGAAAATTTGTTGTCTAAGAATTTCTTAATTTTTAGTGTAGAATGCTTGTATCAAATTTGTATAAATGGATCTTCATATCATTTTATAATATGTGCAGCATATATGCTTATTTTGTATTTAAATTCTTTCGTATGTCAACTGACCATCAAGCTTAATCTTTAGTTAGATGCCTGCTTCAAATTAACCACTGAGAAAAGTATAGTTTTATGTAATTTTAGTGTACATTATTGGTGAAGAAGTCTTTCTGTGATGTAACACATCAAAACTGAATTGCCGATGCAAAGATTGCCATATAATGAACAATTTCAAGAGTTTAGGTTGATAACTGCTGCAGATTATTTGCTTTTAGTCTGGGTTAACCTTCGCTAAGCTTGTTCCTCAACTTCAGGACTATTTGAGAAATGTTAAAGCCTTAGCCTCGTCGGTCAGCTCAGGTCTGTCTGGAAATATGAGTTGAGTTGGTGTTTAGTCTGGGGTCATCATTAATCCAGGACTCCACACTTAATGTTTGTGTGTGTGTGTTGGGGGGGGGGGGGCGGGGGAGGGGTCTGGACCCCAATTTTAGGCTCTATAGCAGTATGGAGAAATTCTGAAATTGTTGTGGTCCGTTCCTAGGTTTTTTTGTGCTTAAGTGTTCTGTGAGATTGTTAGTCTCGAGCCCTGATTAATCCATCAAGCAAGGGTGGTGTCTGATAGTCCATGCTGTCATGTTTCAAATGGTACAATTAACAGGTTTCCTCAGCACTATCATCACAATCAGTTAGTATACCCTGTACTCCAACAGGAATTCTCCTTTCTGAAATGGTATTGGGGTGAAGAGACTATATAGCCTATAGATGCAATCATTTACAAACATTTGTTTGAAGCCTTCCTGCATGATCTGCTCCAAGGCTACACTACTTCTCAGTCTGTTTGTAAGGGCACACCTGAGAGTTTCTTCTACATCTTTTCTCAAAATCCATTCTCTTCCAACACTGTAACAGGCCTTAAATTTCAATATTTTTTAGGGCAAGACCACTTTTCTGTAGGGCACATTCCTATATTACAGAGCAAATAGGAAGAATTGGAAAGGGCACAACAAATCTACAAGGCCAGTGAGAGGGGCATTGAGGCCAATCAAAGGGGCATCTACGGTCATGGCCTTGGTGGCCTTTGATTAATTCAAGCCCTGCTGTAATTATGTCTCTCAATCTTGACCAAAGTGTTGAAAACCGCATTAATTCTGTAATCCTTTGGCTGATTTATCTTTAGTGGGTGTAATTTGTTTCTCTGAATTTGCTGCTTCGAATCGGGCCAGTTTTGTATTATGAATGTTCACTTCTCCATAAATAATTCATCCTCAAGGCTTAGTTTCCATAAGTTCAATGAAGAATGAAATCAAAATGAAAATGTTTGTTCCCTCTCCCATTTTTTAATTACCAACATCTTTCTTCATTTGTTTTGTAAAATTGTGCAGCCCCTGCCAGCAGACATGTAGAATGTCGTTATCTGAGTGGATCAGATCAACTCTTTCTAACAGATGGTCACTCTGTAGGCTTGAGAAAAGATCTAGGTGGGGTCCTTCTGCTCGACTCTGCCCTACAAACCCCAGTGACCAACCCTGATAAAGATGTCATGGTGGAAATACCATATTCTGAGGTGAGGAAGTAAAGAATTGTAATGGGTCTTCACTACGCTCAAACAACACCCAAATTAATGTAGCACTTTTATGTACAGCATTTTTGTTTTTTGTAATAATTCTTATGTTCAAGGGAAATGATCATGAATTATTAGAAAATACATTAATATGTTAGCAACACAAAAAGTGGTAATTCATATATATGTCAATGTTTTATGGTTTTGTATTTTGTTTCTGTGAGCCTTTATATAAAGAATGGTCAAGTTTGAGAATATTACAAGTGAGAAGGGAAGCTATTCTTCATCCTTTTGTGTGTTAATATTTTGAAAATAGGTGGAGAGAGGTGTATCCCTGATCACAAAATTGCCATATTGGTTATTGTAGTCACGATTATAACAAAATCTTAAATCATCCATTTAAGGAAATGGATTGATTTGAACACATTTTCACTCTTACTTACATGTTGTTTTTGTCAAATCAAATTCCAGGCAAGTCAGCTGTTGGCATGCCTCAGGAAGAACAAGATCGCCAATTCTGAAACTGTCATGGAGAGTATCGAGGAAGAGCTGGAACGTTACAAACTTCCAAATGATCATGCCTACCACAAAACAACCAAGGTAACTGACTTTTTGTTTATGAGCACCCTTTTTTCATAAAAAACATTGCTTTGCTTGCTTGGTGAATGTTGGTGTCCTTAGCTTGAAACCATGTGGTCCTTAATCCTGTTATAGCGAGCAAAGTAATTAAAAAAAAATTGCGGTTGAGGAGAGATGTAGTTTATACCACATCCTTGTTTAAAGGTACTATGTCCCATTTGTAGGCCAAAAAATGAAAAGGTTAAATTCCAACGGCATTTGAAAGATAATACTAATTTAGAACTTCCCTAAAAAAGGTGGGATTTGAAAATGTCTTAAAGTGGGAAATAACGACTATTAGTTGTCAAATCGACTTAGGAGCTATAGAGCCAATAAGTAATAGTCTTGATTTTCAGACCATTGTACGGAATGGTCTTACGTTTTATGCTGCGCAAAGGTTCAATCAGTCAAATTTTGGCCATCACAAGAAGTGGGTAGACAAATGCTCATGTACCCTTTACAGCTCATTTTATGTATGTTATTAGCAAAGAAGAAAAAAAGCCAGTCAGTCACTCAATAGTGTCTGACAGTGAAGTCTATCAAGTAAACAGGTTTCCTTGCATAAATTGAATATTAGGACACTGCTAATGTTTAAATTTCACAGATGGACATACATGACATATTCATAATTCCTGCAAAGTTCTACAGAATGTGAGGTTGGCTGCAAAAGGGACATAGTACCTTTAAGACCCTAACCATGATTGCATGAATTCTCACTACCTTGTACAGTTTCTTTCTAAATTATGTTGGATGCTTTGTACTAATTCCTTTGATGTAACAGCCAATGTAATGTTGAAATGACAGAGATTCAACTTGACAATTGCAGTATTTTAATTAAATGAGACACATACTTGCATGTTTGTCAACTTATTTGAAAAATGTTCTCATGTAAATGCATTCCAGCAATATGAAATGTTCATCTACGTTGTGTGTCCATATAATCTATCTTCTTCCAGTGGGCCACTGTCCATCTCCGCCTACCCCATGCCACCCTGAAGAAGGTCATCAATGGACTTGTGGTTGAACTATGTCGCACACACCAGCGGGTCTCTGCTCTACCCATCTGTACTGCCATCCTGGACCGTCTTCAGAGGCTCTACCCGGATGGACAGGAGCCCCTGGTTGTAGGGGGAGACACCACCATCGAGAAGTCCCAGATGTACAGCGAGGCTACCCGTCGACAGACATTCGCCCAGTGGCCCCATATGGACTACAAGTAGGTTGCATTTGACTGACCAGTACTTTATGGGATGGCTATATCTGTTTGCCTCATGATTATTTGCAGTTATGATTAAAAACAGAGTATCATGGAAATTTGTAATTTGTGCTTATGATCTTTGCTTCAAACTACATACATTACTTTAATCACTTTAATCAAGTATGTAGACGAAGACGAAATGGTGTAAAAAAAGGCTCTTGCATCAAATTTTTGGTACAAAGATGCAGTTAGTTACATGTATTTATGTATTGTTGAAATATTGTTGTGTACAATTTTTCAAAAATATTTTTTTTCTTCTCTTTCTATAGGTGGGCTCTACCAGAACCCATGGCTCAAGCTGGCTTTTATCATCAGGTACATATTCAAACATTATTTGCTATCATTATTTTGAACCTGATTTGAAATTAGCATATTTATGGATTTACAAGATCCTTCAAACATATTATATATATATGAGTGTAGAATAATTTCATACTTATTCAAAATTAATGTATAATGATTGCAACACTGCTTATCTGAATCTTATTATTTCTCATGAGAACTAACAAGAAGTGATACATGGTGTAAGTCTCAGATAAGTAGAATGTTCTGTGGGAAATTTTACCAGAGCTGTTGCACAAGCGGCTTTTAATCTGATCCCTCTCATGTACCTTTCTTAATTGTTTGTGTATATTTCTTTTCTACAGCCATCATCAATAGGTGATGACAGAGCTATGTGTTTTACCTGCAGTGTGTGCCTTGTGTGTTGGGAACCAACTGATGAACCTTGGTAAGTAACATTCATTTTTTTCCCGGACCATTGTCACAAAACATTTTTGACTTTTCAGGTTGAAATATGTAATATGTTTTGGGAGGCTTTTGTCACTGTGATATACAAGTGTTATTCTCATGCTTAAGGATGAAATATTTTCTTGACTTGCAGATGTGAAATTTATGATATGAAGTGAATGTTATTATTTGTTGACCCATATTCTGATTTTGAATTTGGTGAAGTGATTACATTAATAATCGAGTGGAGACTGCTTTTCAAGGCAAAAGCAAAAGCTATGACCAGAATTTCCTCTTTAGACTTGGCATTTTCATGATTGGCCATTCAGAAACTAAACTTGTTACTAGAATATGTCCCATCTCTATCAGAAGGTGACAAATAAATTTCACTTTGACACTTTTCCATCCATTTCCTTACAGGTCAGAACATGAGAGACACTCTCCCACATGCCCCTTTGTGAGGGGAGAACCGACCCATAACGTCCCCTTCTCTGTCACCCTTTCAACTGGCCCAGCTCACACGCACAGCAAGAATGAGAAGGTAAGAATGTCTGTTTTTGAATTCAACACAATTTTGAATGAAGTTTTATCTGATTAACTGCCAGAGCATTCTTGATGATATTCAGCTTATCTTGAAAGCAGTCGTTGTTGTCGTCATTTGGTCTAAGATGGTGCTTTTTAATCTGTCCTAGATTATTTATGGTTTATTATTTATTGATTAGGTAGTGAATCATATTCAAAATTTTGAACGTTATATTATGGTATTCTTGTATATTGAGAGTTGCTTTAATAGAACTTCTGTGGGTGATTCAAGAGATCATAATCTATAGACCATTATTCAATGTGAAAAAGAGAGATAGGCTTCTCCTAACCTTTGAAGGTATAAGGATCAGCTCCCTACCAAGAAGGCATATATCCTAGTCTTAGTATAGAATATTTGTTTTTTTATTTTACCCAGAGTAATTAAATTAATAATATAGAGAGAATTATGTATCAACAATCTATTTTACAAGGCAATTTGTTACTTTGATTGATTTCACTAGATATCCTGTGTTAGTGAGGGCAATACGTCCTCTCTGATGGCAACATCCACTGACTCTGGTTGCGTCTGCATCTGGGAAGTCCATGAACAGCTCAAATTAGCCACCAGATTCATCGTCAACCCCAAGGATCCCATCTTCAAGGGCCAGGGACCGGTCATCATGGACACAGAACCTGCGATGGCTGTGAAGCAGGCATGGGTGGCACCAGAGGTGCCGGTGTCTGTTACCAGCAGTAGCAGTAGCTCCACCAGTAGTACATCAAGTAGCACCAGCAGTGGAAGCACTGGTCACCTTCCCATGAAGGATGAACAAGCACTTGTCAATAGGTGAGCCATGTGTTTAATGTTACTTTGCTTTTTAAATGGGAAATATATAATTATAGCATAAAAGTGTGATTTTTTTACTTCTTAGGAGACCTCCAAAAAATAACAATTCAAAACAAAATGGGCAAAAAAACCAACATGTTGGTCTCACATCGTTTGTGACACTGATTTTTAAACATACACATGTGCATTGATATTTCCTATTATTATTGCCTTCCTTTATATTTACTCTTTGTTGTGTAGCCCAAAGGGACTCCCTGAGACATCATCTAAGACAGAGGAGATGAAACAAGACCCTTCCGTGGAGGAATCAGAGAGAGGTAAGAGTACTGTATATTATAGGTAGGATGTTCAGGAACTTGTGTAACAAACTGTAAATTCATAATTTCAATCAATATTTGTATTAATGTTGACTGTATTGTATTTGGATTTTGAGCACATCAGTATACTTTGATGTAAATCATTTGATTATAACAAAGACAATCATTCTTTCTTTTTTATTTGATGGAATGTAACAATCTGTAAGTCACAGGAACAAGGCAACATGAGAGTTACAATTATGGTTCATGAGTTTGTATTGTTTCTTGATTATAACAGAAAAGGGAGCTTTTGGTTCGTTAGAGGTGATTGAAGTGAGCGGAGCCTGGAAGGTCACAGACAATGGAAAGCAGGAGACTAATGGCCCTGCTGCTGATGAAGGCACCCAAACGCACAATGCTAGTATGAATTTGATATTTTGCTGTCCATTTGTTATCAGAGACGCCATGTAGTGGGTGGCATTTTGTATGCCTCAACCACCCAAGGGGATGCCAGAGGCATTATGTTTTTGGATTTTCCTTCTAAGAGATGAAAGGTGAATGATCACATTTCTCCCCATCTTGCCCTTGTTACTTTGTAAGTAAACAAATAATAAAGTAAACTTTCAAACTGGCTTGTGTTGCGCCTTAAGTATATTACAATGCTTATCAGTAAGTACAGCAATTGCATTGTTTCATTGTTTCCTGAATACTCCTAGTCAATTAACCTTCAAAATAAAAAGGGACTTCATGTTAAAAAGTGAAAGTGTCTTCTATGATTAAATGTTACTCACTAATGTAATTTCTGTCTTTGTATTTGTAATGCCAGTACCTGAAGTCCGGGATGAGGAGCCGTCTGATTCTGTTGTAGTGTCTGCCCTGGGTATGCTCAATGCTAGCAAACTACCAAGCCTAGCAACATTAGGAACATCCGATATGTCTTTCCCTTGCCTGGTGACTGGAGTTAGTATACGAAAAGAAGATCAGGAGATAGTCAATGGCAGCAAAGCGGATACTAGTAGGAACAGTGTTATAGAGACAGACAATGCTGTTGACGTAGACGGGCCCAAGGATGATGAGAATGGAGATGATGCCGGCATTGGTGGTGCTCCACCCAAGAAGCTCCTTTTTGCTGATGCATATCTCGGAGATTCGGTCGATGGGGATGTCGATGGGAAAGTGGGAAGTAAAGTGGCATATACAAACTACTTAGTTGTTTACTGTATGATGTACAAGGGCAAACCATTGCCAGTTGTCAAGAAGAGTGGTGAGAAAGCATCGTCGTCCTCTGGCTTTCACAAAACGCAGAGCATGTACTTTTCACTTTCGCAGGAGACGCAAAAGCTTGACTTGGAGGAGGATGAGCTGGGAGGGTACAGTGATCTGGAAGACCCGCTCAATTTCCAGTTCTCCCCCATGGTTAATAACAATCCTCCACCTATTCCTTCTGGCTCAGGGTCTGTCGTATCAAAGCAGGTCTCTATGAGCGTCAAGGCTGTTCAGTGCGTGGAGCTACCTGAGTCAGTGCAAACGAATGATTACGTGGTGACATCTGTCAGGACCTCCCTTGATGAACAGCATCTGATGGTTGTCTTGAGTCCACATTCTGGAAAGATGTTTGAGAGGGAATTCATAGATGGTGGTATAGACCAAAAAGAAAAGGAAGAAATTGCAAGTACAAGTAAAGAGTCAACAACTGAATCGGTGCAAAATGACTTGAACAAGGGTAGCTCTCCTTTTGTGATGATGAGCAATGAAGAGTGTGGTCCAGGTGAGGATGAGGTTGACACAGGGCCCAGCTCTTCAGGAAAAGATGATGCTGATGCTAGGACTATTCATCCACCTTACATGAAAGATCTACCTCCCAGAGCACCATCTGGAGGTTTTCTAGTAATCTACAAGTTAAAGAGAGCAGGCCAGATGATATCTGTAGAGAAGGAGCCATGCCATATACACCAGATATCCTCCACTGAGGATTCGCTGTCATACCTGACCCCTCTCCCCTCGGGGGTCACGGACGCCAGCAGTGATGAGGACGAAGTCGATCCATACATGGACAGCTCTACAGATAATATGGATAAAGATGAAACCGATTCACCAACATCGCCCTCAATAGGCAAGTGGACAGCACTAACTCAAGATGGCCGTCTGATTGTTTTTGATGCTGCTTCTTTCTCAGTACTCCTGTCTATCTTGCCATCCCACTTTGACTTCACGCTGACCTCCTTCGGTCCCGAAGACAAGACGAATCACTACGTAGCGCTTACCTACTGCACGGGTATGGAAAGACTATGTGTGTGCACGGGTGGTGGGAAGATCAGCTTCTTACAGCTAGATGATGGAGAATCCTCACAATCTATCAAAGTGCATAGCAAGGCTGATCAAATGGATTCAGGGAAAATGGCAATACTAGATAGCAGGCTGACTGCTAACATTGACAAGTCAAGTGAGTAATCCAAAACACTTACATCTACTTTCTTTTTCCAATACTGAATTGAAAGAAAATGCTTTATTTTGTAGAATGAATACACTTGGGTCATTATAACTAATATTACAGCATTGGACCAAAGCCCATAAACAAGAGATTTCGTTCAATTGAATATGAAACCCGAAATATTTTTTCAACAAATATTGGAGAGGGACTAACCATAAAGATAATCTTAGCAGAAAAGTTTCTATAATTTTATTTTCCATGCTAATAAGATCAGACATCAATTGTTTATACTTCTACAACTAGTTTGATTTAGAACTTGTTATCATTTTTTTTTCCCTTCGGATCTTTACAAATTTATTCCTTATTATTTTCCATTTCACTTAAAGTCAGAAGAAAAAGGGCATATGACATTGGTTTGAATGATAAATGTCTGCAAATGTGAAAAAAAGATATGCTGAGTCATGTTTTATGTAGGTCAAATATTTATTTTAGTATACAAGTAAATACACCATATATTTGTTATTTTACTTTAATACTTACTTTTTATTTACTCAGAATGCAGATCAATGAAGATTATTGTAAAACATTAAGACAGAGTCTCAACTTGATATTTTACATTTTTGCTTTGCAGGTAAAGAATTCATCATCAACTCTAACCTGACCATCTCTGCACTTCACACGCTGCATCAGCTCACCAAGTTTGAGATCCTGGTGCCCCGTTTCTCCGCCACGGTACCGCCGTCCTGGACAGAGATCCAGCAGGAGCAGCAGCAGAGGCGTCATCCCCAGCACCTACACCAGCGTCAGCAGGGAGACGCTCTTCAGCATACCAGGACTTGGAAGCTCCAGCCTGATGGGTGAGTGAGCCTGAGCAGTTTAAGTCATAAGGTGTCCGCAGAAACACTTTTTATCAATGCAAAATGAAAATGGTGATTTCCCAAAGTTAGCACAGAGTTTGATGACACAATTTCAATTCTATTTCAATTTTTTCATGTTTCCAACAAAACATTACAAATCAATGATAAGCATTTTAAAAAAATGTGAAAAATACATGTTGGAAACAGAGGGGTCCACTAAAAAGCAATGCTTGTGCAAGTGTGAACAAATGATACTTAGGAATAATGAGTAATTAAAGACTTCAGCTTAAGCTGTTAATGCATGTGGAAATGGACGGACATTTTCAGGGAGAGGGAAGGGGGTTGGGTTCAGGTAGTGATAGGAAAGGCAATATTTGTTGGTATAGGTTCTAAAGAGGTTATGTTCATGTCTTGTATTATAAGTGCAATTAATTCTGATTTTCACATTTCTTTGACTTCAGTTATCATGAAATACACCCACACTTCTAAATATCTTGTAACTGTTCTTAATTGACCTTAAACATAATCTTTTTGAAGAACCTAACCCCAGAAAGTCATAATTGTTCACACTTGATGTAGATGTTTTACAGTGTGTTATTTTGTTGTTTATTGCAGCTCTACAAGTCAAGAACACCTGTTTGAGATAGTCCTTCCCAGGATGTGTGCAGTGGGTCATATAGACATCAAGTTCAGTCTACTCCCCTTCTGTTCTGCACCTCCTGGGATACAGGTCACTCTGCTTCAGCAGAGTGAAAAATATCGAGCAGGTAAGCAGATGAAACAAGAAGATTGCTTCATGTAGAGAAGAGCATATCGTCTCTCATGATTTGTACCTGAAGATTGCTTAACCTCCCCTCCCTAACCCATACAATGTACTCTGTTTCTGTCTCAGTGTAACCAGACATAATCTCAGCGGAACAACGGTCATTATCATGTCAGAGACCTATTTAGCTTTCAGTGTATATAAAAGTTACAATCTAACCCTGTTCAATGCATTTAATTCAGGGAAAGTAGTATGTGCAATGAATACATTCTGTTTTTCTCCCAAGTGCCGTCTCCCTGGGGGCACTTCGCAAAATATATTATGGATAGCATATTATTATAGGTCCTTTAAAGAGACCAGACCCTCCTGAGTCATAACATTTTGAAAAATTGAAATTTTCTTATTTCATGTGTTGGAACAAAGGGAAAGTTGTCCGCCATAACATCACAGAGACATTACCGATTCAACCAATGCAAAGAGCCCATACCTATGTTGATTACAACTTTCAAACATTAATAACTTTCTCATTATTTGTGTGGTTTCATAGAAACTTTCACCAGTCTACTCTTCTGACTTGTCTGCTTTCCTCTCGAATAGTTTGATGTCGAGGTTGGATTTCCCTGTAACAATATTACATAGGATTATTAATGCTATTCATATATTTACATGTAGTATCTAAAAGCTTATGAAGGTTATCACCCTTAACACCTCATTAAAAACACTTCCATTTTCATTCTTGCTTTGAATAGGAGACAAAGAAAAGATGAACATCAAATCAACACCTATCGATGCTCATATCAACTTCAACATGAATGCTGGATCGAGTACAAGATCCAAGGAACCCAAAGAGCAAAACGTAGATCTTCCAGATCTTCCACCTCCATTCCTTGGAGCAGTTGGCACAGACAATGCTGATGGCGATGAAGCTGGGCCTAGCAATGGACGATCATCCACTCCACCACAAGCTGGATCCTCCAAGCAGTCATCAGGTCAAAGGTCGGCTCTGACCGAGTCGTCCTTCCTGCGGAGACACAGAGAGGATGTCCTCTGTGGACCTTGTGGACTAGAGCTGTTTGTGGATACACCTAGTCACACAGGGACAGTCATGCTGACCAGTAAGGAGCTGATGCTCTGGAAAGGCAGGTCATTCCTTCTACACATCTGGGCCAGTGATGAAGGAAGTGCTGAAGCTACGAACGGCAGGTCCAAAGCTGCTCGTTCAGACCAAGGTATGGACCCAACAGAATTTGTCAGTTTAAGGAGGAATTCTTTCTTTGACAACCTGTTAGTTGTAACCTATCAAGTCACTGACTATTCCCTTTAAAAGTTTGTTAAGATTTAAAAACTTTTGTCTTAAATTAAGCTTGTTAATTGTGCAATGTAGTCGATTTTATGTATTAAACTTTTGTAAGCTGTTGTCAAAATCTATGACATGGTCTATACAAATGAAAAACCAACATAAGTTAGTCACGTAACAAGTTGTAGAATGTTGCTTCTAGGAAAACTAGATGATATTGTATGATTCTCCATTTGCAGCATCATCGTTTGTTCCTCAATTTCACACCAATGTGGACCTGGCTGATAGACTGACCACTGTCCAGCTTCGCAAGGACATGGAAAAGTACAGTGGATGTGATTGGATACAAGAACTCTCCATTACAGTCTGCAAATCAAAGAAGGTCAACCTACCCAAAGAGAGGTTTGTAGATGGCTCTTGAAAAAGTTACTTTATAGCCCTTTGAACATTGTATGAAAATAACAATAAAACATTAAAGTAAGATGTTAAAATGATCTTGCTTTTATCAAAAATTTGTCTATACTGTAAATCTCTGTATAGGATGCACCTGTGTATAAGACGCACCCCAACTTTCAATTATTTTTTTGGCGGGAAAAAAGTGTGTCTTATACACAGAGCTTTACGGTATAGATTTTCCTTTAAAATTTTAAATACCTTGCTGATTTTGACAATTTAGATTTCAAAAGAGTAAAATTATTGAGAAGTGATCATTTCGACAACCTTATAAAGAATGTTTTCATTAGTTGTATAAGGAAGAACATTGGGGACCTCTCCTGTTCAAGATATTTAGAGGAATCTTGCAAAAGTAAATTTACAAGGTTGTTCAAAAGCTTACAAGACATTTGCATACAACTATTTGTGAACTTTTTAATCGACTTATGAGCTAATCCATTATTCTCTTTCTCTCTAATATCCTGTGGCTTTTATCTGTATAGAATCCAAAGAGCCCTGATGGTGGAGTCCTCCACCTTCCATCAAGACCTGCTCAACACGGTTACAGCATCAAGTACCCTATCATCTAGCATGACAGAGCACAAGCAGAAGCAGCTACTAGCATTTGATGTTCTATGTTGGGTTGCAGGAGTTCACATATCAGAGCCTGAGAGGTAAGATAAGAAGGTCTTGCAGAAAAGAAAAAATTATGGTTATTTCTATCCTCCTCCTCCTCCTCCTCCTCCTCCTCCTTCTTCTTCTTCATCATTTATATATTTTACTATTTTGTATTATTATAGAGAGCAATTTAAACATGTTAGCTGTTCATTTAAGATAGATCTGCATCACCATCTGCATCACCACCTAGTAGAGCAATTAACTTGTTAATATTGAAGAGATTTTTTATGCAATTCATTTGGTGATTAACCCTTACTGTACTGGGCTATTTCGAGCACTCTCTGACTGGGGGGGGGGGGCCTCCCAGGCCCCCCCCCCCCTATGATCTCGGCCGTCGAATGTCCGATGAATGCGAAAATTTGCATGTTTGTAGATATTTACGTAAGGAACAAGATGGTATAATTAGTTTTTCGCTAATATGCAAATTTTTTTCATTAAAGCCTAATTAATTATGCAAAATGCAAATTTTATGCATTTTACAGAAAACTCTACATATTTGTCCGTAGACTTGTGAAGAATCTTGAAAATGTATTGAATAAATGTTTCCTTCATCTCAAATTCATGAGGTTTCATTATTTTTATGATATTTGAAAATCAATAGGTTAATTTGCATAAATTATGAACTAGTGGAGGCCTCGTTCCACACGGAAATATATATCGGGAACTAGAATCCTTACAAAAATTGTCAGACTCCACTTTTTGAATGTTGTTACTCATTATTCAAATGAAACTTCTTTTCTATCACAAAAAAGTTATTTGAAGTAATTAATAATGATAATTTATGCAAATTTGATGCGATTGTCAACTATTTATTTTCTTATGTATTTTATTGTTTTTTATTTCTTATTATATCTATTGTTTTATTTCTAATGTATTCTTTTGTTCTGAAATACATCAAGTTACTTTGAGAAACATATAAAAGCAGTTTGATATCAATTCATAGCTTCACATTTCTGCTTGTACATGAATATATGCAATTATAGCACTTTTTTGATGACATGCGCATACTAATTGTTATGTAACACCTTACAGGTACATCTGATTTTGACGAAAATGGTATCAAAATGTGCGTAAGACTTGAGGGAAAAAAGTCATGAAACGTCAATTCAAAATTCCGAGCGGTTGCGGCGCAATCTCCGAAAATGTAAGGGTTAAGATGCATTTTTTTCAGAAAAAGGAGGGTTAGCAAAAAATTATTATTTTACATGAAAGCCTGTGATGTCAATAGCAGTATATTTTGCCCTTTTAATCTTTACAAGGAGGGAAAACTGTGTCACACACTGCTGTAAACCAGTGTTCATCTTCAGCAACTATTCAGTTTTCATGATTCCCTCATCTTTCGAATTTAGGCCTTCTGGTTTGGTGGAAGCCACGGAGCACATCCTACCAGAGATCATCAGGATCTGTTACCTGGAAGCTGAAAGAAGTCTAGCTCACAAGTGTAGCCGCTTTTTGGCCCTCTGCTTAGGGTAAGCTTTGGTCGTTAATGAGTCACTTTCATTCAATGGCATTCTAGAGCTCATGGAATGTAGTTTTTTGGGCAGGATGATTTTAAAGTTCTTCCTTTTTGCCACAAACTTAGTTTAAGTTCTCTTTGAGCTGTTTTATCAGTCGATGCTCCTTAAAGAATTGAAGTTGTTAAGATGTATCCTAAAAAACTATCCATTTTTAGAGTACATTGTATCAATATTTGAATTAATCATCCAATTGAAATTTACAAGTATCTTGTAAAGTGAAAGAGATGTAGAAATAATGTGCAAATCAAACTCACATGAAGACACATCCTGTGGAAATTAACATGGTGTACAAATCAGTTCCTATTTATATCTTCCCTTCAGGTGTGCCAAGAGAAGTCAGAACCCCAATGTTGCAGCCTCCTTCCAGAAGGCCCTCCTGCAGAGCCTACTCCAGTGGTTACCGACAGTTGCATGTGCCCCATCCTCTGGCTCCCTACACTGGTTCTTTGTCATCCTAGGCCTGGTCAAGCATGCTGATTATGAGGCGGTCAGTGGGGGTTGCATGGCCATGCTCAAGGCAGCGGCCAGGCAGCTGGATGAGGCTACCCTGCCACAGCATATCATGCTTAGGGCAAAGTAAGTCTTTTAGAAGACGTCTTCCAGACTCCTTTGCTTAAGCAGTCAGCAGCCTACTTATACTTAACTGATCTCTGGTTAGTTTATAAGTGGCCCAAACATTGTGGAGCAGTGTGTGCAGCGCTTTGTACCCGCAAGGAAAAGATGCTATATCAAATATCTTTTTTGATTGGATTGGATTGGAGTCTGATAGATAGTGTTTCTAGTAGAGTATTAACTTTAATGTATGGGATGTAGAACAGCATTAGGGCTATTCCTATTCTGTAAGTGGGTAAGTTGGGTTTTGTTTTATGCGAGATAATTATTTCCACTCATTAGCTCCAATTCTTAGAGAGATCCTATAGGACGAATTATCATTTTATGATGTAAAGATAAGTCATAGTTCTCTCTTATGAATGAGTCCATTGTCAAAGAGTTGTGTAGTATGAAGTAGAAGATGCAAGAAGAAGATACAGTGCTTCCCTCACCTACTCATTTGATACTGATATCACTTTGTCTTTTGTTGCAGGTTTGGCTATTATGGCACACCCCTGGAACCAACTCTATTTGATGTGGAGCCACCCCGCCCGCCATCCAAACTGGACTCCACTGGCCCCTCCACTGCATCCACCGGCACCACCACGTCAAGCTCTGTCCCTCTTCCCCAGATCTGGACTGAAGTGGGACCTTACAGCAGTCATCAGGGACTACCACCAGTCACCCTGGGTGGAGGAGGAGCCTTTGACATTGGTGCTGAACCAGGAAGCAAGGGCATGTCCTTGAGAGGCAAGGGAGCCCTGGGAGGGATCGTCGGAGTAGAGAATGGTGATGGATCACTAACGAGTGGTGGTTACTTCATGAAGGGGCTCCTGGAGGTAGAACCATTGCATTTCGCATGCTGTGGCATGAGTGATGGAGCACACATTGAGAGAATTGGAGGAGGTAAGTTAATTTAGTGTGATATTGAAAACGATAGTGTGATTAAGATGAATTTTAGCACATTGTCTGTTCTTTCTATAGAGCAATGGCAATTTCAAGAGTATTTTCTATAGGATACATTATTTCCTCTTCTTCTCATGTGATAGTCAGTATTCACTGACAATACATGTAATACTCCAATAATATACAAAGAGTAACCTAGCAGCTCATAATTTTACTGTGATTCTCCGGAATCGAACTCAATTCATCACTACTCTCGACATGTACTCAGTTTACAAAGGTATACAAGTAAGCAGTGAATTGAAAACATTTTAAGTTTGTCCCTTTCATAATTTGACTCTTAGGTATACACACAGCATCCAGTGTTCACCCTATGCCTCAAGGCCAAGGTGGTAAAAGTAATGCTGCACAGCCAGGGAACCCTCCCACACCAGCCTACCTGGCTACCCTGACCAATGCCATGGCTACAGCTGAGAAACAACTCCAGAAGCTCAAAGAAAAGACCAAGGCTTTGGTTCAACTCAAGAAGTACAACTACATGTCAGGGGTAAGTTTATTAATATCCCCTTTTTTATTTATTTTTTTTTTTTTTTACAGATAGTGCATGAATTAGTTCTGGCTTTCTATGTTTTGGGTTTAATCTTGACATCATCATCTGGTATAATGTCACTATCCACCCAGTTTTTAATGACAAATATAAAAAATATATATATATAAAGGAGAAGAACATATATAAATTGAGATACCCAATTGCTCAAATAATTTACTACTATTTTATTTCTCATAATGCAGGTGTGTCTGTGAGTTCAGGTTTTCAAAGAGACTTCTTAAATATAATTATTTACATTTGGGACTAGACTTCAATGTAACTCGGATGTGGTTTCTAATCTAAGTCTATATAAAAATTGTTGTGGTAGCTATATCATTTGTCCTCAAATGTACTTTCCTCTATTTACTTTTCTTTGTTTCCATTAGTTCATACTTAATGAGTGTGGTCTGTTTCCCTGTTCTCATTTCAGCAGTCCTCAAAGGGCGTGGCAGAACCAAGTCCCAAGAACTCTCCTCTATTCATGACCCCGCCTATCTCCCCTCCCTCTGAACCTGCTGTAGGGCAGGTCCCTCAAGAGCAGCCCCCTCTAATGTACAGTATCCCTGATGATGAGTGTGGTTTGCATGGTCAGCCGGGAGAAGGCTCTCAGGGAGGAAAATCATCAAGTAAATCCTCTTCAAAGGTTAGCAAATCTCAACAAGTTGCTCCTATCAAGAAGTAGTTAAGTTTGTTCCACAAATATTGTAGGTGCACCATGCCAAGTTTGTATCTCAAGTGTTGCATGTATACACCATGATGTCGATGGTGTTTGGTACATGGATATACAATATACAACTTGCAATCAGATGGTGCATTTTGCTTAGCTAGCAATAAAGTCAAATTTACATGCCCTTCAATTAGATCTATGGACAGTATAACTTTATCCATTGCATTTTATGAGCAAAACTAATTTGAAGGTATGCAGTAGTAATTTAATCATAATAACATAAATTTGGCAATCATGTTTTGTTTCCTGCAGTTGGTAAACACTTTCGAAATCAAATGCTCTTATAACGTCTAAAATGGATTAATAAGAATAATGCAATATATGATTAAGTTGAGATTGATATCATTTGATTTAATTTTGTTTGTTTCAGGATGATCTGAAGTTTGAGTTGGATGAAGGTGTTCCCTCCAGTGCATCCTTGGTACGCAATCTTCTTCATCCTCCATCGTCACATATGATGGTCATTGAGAGGATGCATTCAGGTAAGGTCCTAATTAATATCATACCTTAAGCCCTCACAGGAATTCACATTCACAGGAATCTAACGCTAGTCCCAAATTTTTCTTCAGTGCTAGAAGTGGCATTCATGTATAATAAGCTGTGACTGTGCCTAAAATGTAGATGATGATATAGCCATTTTAAAGTTATAAAGCGCATTCTAACATTGTATTGTAGTCATATAAGATCATTTGGAAGTCTTGTCTCATATTTGGAGTGTTCATTTTCTAGCATTGACAACCACAGTTTGAGCTATATTCTTTGGGAACTTGTGCCTCACTGATTTCACATAGTGTAAAGTGCCCGACACGTGCAAGAAATCTCAATGGAAACGATCAGTCAAAGCGTGATATTGCATGATGTGTATTCCGTCTGGTATCACAATGAAGCAAGTTACCTGACACCTGAAAGCAATTTTTTTGCCCTTAAATTGACCAATTTCTTACAAAACTTTTCTTTCAATATCATTGAAGATTACCGTTAAAAAAATCCCATTGCTTTATTCTTAATTTCATTTAACAGTTTGATCTTAACTTTCCTACTTACAGGAGCAAGGAGGTATGCTGTGCTTGACTTTGGTCGCCCTATCGTCCTGACTGATGTATATATTCCAGCATGCAGTGATCTGACTTCTCTATCAGTGGACATATGGACCCAGTTAGAAGAAGTGGACGGTCAGCGGTTGGCTGTAGCAATGGACATTGAATCCAGGGACTTAGTTTTGAATGACCTTCTACCTCCTCCAGTGTGTAGATACTTGAAGGTAAGGATATTTTGAAGGAATGGACAACTCATGTACATCACTAGTATTAGTTTCTATTATCAACAAATTTATATGTTGCGCTTTGTATGTTGTACAGAATGCAGCAACAATAGTCTGTTAAATCTTTTGTTTAGTTTGTGTAACGGTGCATATACAAAAAATGTACTGTGGTTTGAACAAAATATTAAGTCTTAAATGCTAAGACCATATGGTCATGTAGGAATAAGTTGCTATGTTCTCTGAAGCATTATTTCCTTAAAATATATTTTCCTTTATGTCGTTCACTCACTTCAGATTACTGTTGTAGGCAACTACGGAAGCAACAGCCCAAAGTCTAAGGTTCCTCTGGGTACATTCTACGGTCATTCCTTCATTCACCTAGAGGCAAAGCCCAGAGACCTCTCTGATCCATCTCTTGTAGAACTACGGAAAGAACAGTATGTGGGACTAGCAATGGCAATATTGGATGACATCCAGTGCAGGTACAGTCTAGCCACTAGCCGACTTCAGAAACTCCTTCAAGCGTATGAGAGTTTCCAGACAGAGAGTCAGATGGATGGAAGTTTCACCCAGACACGAGAGAAGATGGACACCAACGGCAGCATCCGCAAGGCCTATGTGGAATGTGTGCAGCTTCAGCAGCAGTTGAATGTTGTTCAGCGTACCATCCTGAGGCTTCGTCAACAGAAGCCCCATCAACCCTACACGATGGTCCCCATCTCCAGCCCTGCCTTGGCTGTCAAGAACACCTCCACCGATGCGCTACGCATCATGTGCGAGCATCTCTTGGAGGTGCTGCTAAGCACCACTCAAGGAGCGATGGCCCTGCCTGTGTCCCTGTGCTGTGCCTTGGATGCAGAGTCATGCAAGTCAATCTTCAGGCACCTGTGTGTGATGGGAACCCCAAGACTGAGCTTACTCACAGGAACGTTACTGGTCAGGGTGTGTGGCTCAAGGCAATGGTGGGGAGAGTTTCTAGCTGCTGCTCTCAAGGAATTCTTCCAGTCAGATCAGCCAACAATGTTCCCTCAAGATAGGTATGGATTCTCTTCTAATTGGTCTATGTTTGCTCATTGGCACAGACAATTTGAACATCTAATGAATGAATTGAATAGTTATGATAAAATATTAATGGAATGATTCCCCCCCCCCCAGTCATTGACCATAAAACTACCCTTTTTATCACTAGGATTCTAATAGGTATACCACCTTCCCCAAAGAGAGAGAAGTATTTACTCAAACAATCAAACAACTTTATGGCGGGAAAATGAAGCACATGGGATATCATTTGAGTGGCATATGAACAGTCAATATATGTAATTTTTACTGTATTTTGTATGTGATCAATGTACTCAGTTAATTCAACTAATTACAAATTGTTCGTCCTATATAACAATTTGTTATGTTTGTATGTTCGCAGAGTGTTTCTCCTCCTGACTTCACTTGGTCAAACATCCCTGGCCTCAAGCAATGCTAGCAATGTCTTGGAAGATCTTCTACGACTTCTCACTGAACTGCTCTCACCTCTCCTTGGCAATCAGTTTGTCAGCAGTTATGGATCGCCTGAAGGTAAATTGTGTTGAAATTGTCATCAGTGGGTCTGAAATGGAAGTAAATTGAGATACTTTATTGACTACTTGTATATTGTACCTACCTATGAATAGTTAGTGTATCCTTTGCACAGTTTCACACCTGTTAAATGGGAACTTGTGTATAAAGGCCATTTAGACATTAAGTCACGATTGATAGGCTTTTCTCTTATGTTTCTTAAAATCTTTTTAATCAGATTAAATATGTTTAAATTATTCAAGTTAAGTGATTTAGGAAAAAGGTGTCATCCAGCTGATTTGAAATATACCATACTGGTAATGGTTTTCACATCAGCTTCTGTTCTCATGTCATTACAGGTTCACTGGATCTACCACTAGTTGGATGGGTCTTACTATTCCTGTCTCGTGTGTTGGACCACAGCAGTGCGACCCATGCGACTGGCCACTCCTCTGCTGATACCACCCAGGATGCCGAGGCAGGTGCCAGTGCAGGAGCAGCAGGAGGGGCTACAGCCATGCCTGATCACCAGGCAGACAGAGGTAGTGTAGAAGTCATGTATGGAGTTGCAATGGGCTGTTAGTAAGATTGTTAAAACTATTACAGGGGTTAGATAGAGGTAGAGTATGTATTATTTATACTTTACCTAAGCTGTTCTGGGTAGTCCTTGGTAGTCCTTGTCTAGCCTTTTTTACATTGTTTTTATACTATGTTTGAAAGCATTGCTGGTATGTCAAATTTCTCAGAATTTGACGAAAAGATATCCAAAAATATTCACGTTTTCATTTTCTGCAAGAGAAATAACAAAAGAGATGATTTTATGGAGACAAATTTTTTTGATAACTACTCTGGAAAACTTTAGAATACAGGGAACTTTATCTTGAGCCCTTCAAGTCAGACCAGCTATTAAGCATCAAATGTGTCTTGTATGATAGGAGGAGGAGTCCAAGGCGGTGGTGGCAGTAACAGATGGGACTTCTTGACCAGTCAACTCCAGGCTCCAGGGAACAATTCCCAACGCTCCCACACCAGCGGGAGAGACGTGGTCAGGGGGGTCAAGAAACAAGTCCAGTCCCACAAGGACCTGCTCTACGACATCAAGGGAGGCAAGGTCAGTCCGTTAATTTAGACTCGAGTAAATGAGCTAGACACAAAGCAAAATGAGATGCGCTTGTCAGATGCTGCATTCTGCAGCTCCAAATTGTAGAATTATAGAAAGGGGTTTAGCAATCACATGCTACTTATGTAGGTATTTATGCTTTTCATTTGCAAAAGAGCTGTAATTGCAAGCACTGAAATTTGAGGCAATAAATCATTTTGCAAATTTGCTGTGAAAGAATAGTTTTAGAGAAAGGAGTTTAATTATTTGAACTGATTGCTGTGTCAAACTAATTTGTTGACCCTTTAATCACACGTTTTACTTTTTGATGAATATGAAACAACTATGTGTATGTGAGAACTAAAAGTGGCTTAAGTCTTTCAGAGAAAAGGGAGAATTTTTTTTCGGTCAATGTGGCAATTCAAAGACTGAGGTTCTATCAATGTATGACAACAGGGTTCCAATATACAGAAAAAAAAATATAACAAACGAATATTTGGTTGACGGTGGAAAATGGAATGCATGGAAAATTGTAATCAGCTATTTTACTTCTCCAAGCACCACTTCAAAGTCCATTTCTTTTATATATCTTATGCACAAATATGCTATGGTTCTATGATCTATCCAATGTCTTGAAGAATATGTTGTATCCATACTGCTTGGGTCATGTTATAGTATACATTCAGACTCACCATTTTCATATGATCACAAAAGGCTATGGCTTAGCTCTCCAAAACATGTATGTCCTCATTAGTGGGTGAATGAAATAAGTTGTAATTTTCAGAATTATACAGATAGACAGGAATGCAATCAACTCTTGATGGAGTTTACTGTCACTTCTAATTGTTCATGCTGTGAATTGCTCATTTCATTCCATGAGTCATTGTGTCATGGCATTTGCTTCCATGTTGTTTTCCATTCACTTGTTGTCATCGATTGCTAGAATTTGCTTTCTTTTTGTTTTCCCTGTATTCTTACGGGGACCATGAATATGTGGGACGCATTTTGCATCTTTTCCTCCCTTCTGCCCTTACCAGAAGTCAAGTCAGGCCAAATATGGAGAAGACTCGAAAGGCGATCCCATCTCAGATTTCCACTTGAAGAAGAAACTCTATCATCAGGTAGCCAAGGTAGTTTCATCAATGGGGGTTTACCTGGCATGATGGGGTTTTATAATGTCACTGTTTTTCAGCTTTGAATTGCCCTTGTGTTTTGTTCCCTCTGTTCTGTTGACTTGCTATTTAACTGTGTTACATGCTTTCTCATCATTGGCGCAATACATGCTTCATGAGTAAATTTTAAGGGATTCATAAATTGGTCATTCTTGCACTCTTCATGCATTTGATTGAACAGATGATCATGGGAATTTTTGTATTAGAATTGAAATATCTGAATTTTTCCATAAATTCAACCATTTTTGTCTCGCCTGCGTAGCAAAAAGCGAGACATAGGCGCCGCTTTTCCGGTGACGGCGGCGGCGACGGCGACGGCGACGGCGACGGCGTCAACATCAAAAACTTAACCTAAGGTTAAGTTTTTGAATTTTTGGTATAATTTTTAAAGTATAAGTTCTTAGTCAATGAAACTTTGACTATAGGGTTATCAAGTCTCCCCAATCATGTGAGTAGAATTTCAGGTCACTAAGTTAAGGTCAAAGGCCATGTAAGTTCAACAAACTTAGACTTTGTTGTGGCATCAACATTAAGATTTTCAAAATGCTTCTTCTTCGTTATTTTTCAACCGATTTTGATTCTGATTGTTTCATATGATAGGGCTAGGAGGGGATTTAAAATATCTACACAGAGTCGTGAAATTCATTATCTATGCTAATTTATGCAAATTTATTCGAAATCACAAAAAAGGCTTCTTCTCCTTCATTTCTCGACCGATTTTGATTTGGTTTGCTTTATATCGTAGAGCTAACTTTGGTACACTAAACTTGTACACAGAATTTTGAAATTGTTCTCCATTAATTAATTATGGTAATTTATGCAAATTTATTCAAAAAATAACAAAAATTGCTTCTTTTCCCTCATTTCTTGACCGATTTTGCCTTATCTGGTAGAGCTAAATTTGGAACAATAAACCTCTACACAGAATTGTGAGATTTTGCTCCATTGATTATTTATGGTACATGTACTTTATGCAAATGAAATGAAATTATGTCCCTTCCAGGGCATCAAATTTCTATTTTTTGACCAGTTCAAAAGTGTACCACATAAAATTTACGATATTTGTTGTTGTGAGATGCGGATGAGCGCTACGTCATTGACGTTCTGGTTTATCTTATTGAATTGCGTTATGCAGGCGAGACCGCCGAGAGCGTTTCCCTTGTTATGGATATATTACATGATGAATTGAAATTGAAACTTAATAGCATGTTCATTTAATTTAGACAAGAATTTTTTTGTTATTACAAAATCTCTTGTAGCTCTTGTTATTTGAAGATTTTTTTTGGGTTATATTCATCAACTATTTTTGCTGCATTCTCAACTCATGCATGATTATTTAATGTTTGATGTTTAGATTATGCTCAGGAGAGCAAATGGGAAAAGTCTTATTGTTTTTTTTCATTTTTTGTATAGGCTTTGAGTATAGTGAATAAACAGCTGTATTTATCAGCAATAAGAAGAAAAAGGATATTCAGTTGCTACAATCTTGTTCTATATAACCCCCACCTCCTGAAAAAAATTGCTTAGTAATTATTAGTGTGCATTTTCATTTCAACTTACTTTTTGTCAACATCTTTGTTGTCAACAATAACCATTTTCTTTACCTTTGCCTGACCAACTCTCTTATTTCAGTTCTTGAACTTTAGATTGTCTGTTTCTTAGTAGTGCTGTCACAAAATTATAGACAAGAACAGAATTTTGCCTAGCCTTGCACTTTCAAAGTAGAAATCAAACATATTGGGCCAATGAAGCAATATTCATTAAAACAGAGCACAAACAGTGCAAACTTAAAAAAAAAAAGAAAAAAAAAAGTGTTTCATTAAATTTGCAATCCTTAAGTTTGTTAAGGCTTATTTGGGTGAAAAATGTTCCAGGTTTCAATTCAGATTCGATCTTTAATTGAAAGACACACTTGTTTCAATATTACATCTTCCCAGAAGTACCATATAGGTGTAAAGATGCCTGTGAGTGCTTATGTAAGTTGAATGAAAATTCATTGTTAGTCCCAGTAGTTGAATTTTGCAGAGGTTTTGTCTGGGTTTAACCATCTTTAACATTCAAGTGCATTCTTAAGTAAAATAAATATATGCGTACTAAATCTTTCCCCAATATGAAATCAACCAAGGTTTGGTAAAAAAAAATCACCAAATCAAACTCAACCTTACCTACCAACTAACAAAAGCACTAATTCATGTTGTCTGTTAAATAGAATGCATTGCAAATTCAACATTTGTGCCGATACAGATTATTTCATCTGATGTACAAATAGCATTTCATGAAAACAAAACCAGCACATATATTTATGGCTTTAATTTCAGTGATTTTGATATGCTGTCATTTCGTTTTATGAGTACCAGTATCAATTTCTGACTCTGCTGATTTTTCAGTTTTTTTTCCTAAATGTAAAGCTGCTGCATCTCATTATTAAATGTTGCATTTGTCTTGTGATTGATTGTCTTGGGTTGTGTCAATGTCCATTTAAAAATGTCAACATGATAAACACTTTTTATTATTAGCTTTTTATTTTCACCATGTCTCATGTATTTGTTTGTTTTGGTAATGATAGAGTTTCTACTCAATAATGATATTCTTCTACAAGACAGCATAATTAAAACAATTTGGGGAATAAATTCACTGAAAAATTGAAAGGCTATTTTACATTTTGAGTACAAATCTGATTGTTTTTGAGATTATTGTGGTTTTCATGTATATTATATGTTATGTTATATGTGTAATTGGGCATATCAATGAGAAAGCAATGCAAGAAAACAAAATAAGCAATGATGATTAACCTTTCATTCATTCTGATACGTGCACCAATATTTTAGACTTGACATCTTTATCAAGATTTATTGTCTTGATGGGCTTTCACCCCCGTCTTGATATATATATATACACAGGCCTTAAATTTCAATATTTTTAGGGCAAGGCCACTTTTCAAAAGGGCACATTCCTATATTACAGCACAAATAGGAATAATTTGAAAGGGCACACAAAATCTCCAAGGCCAATGAGAGGGGCATTGAGGCCAATCAAAAGGGCATCCACGGCCATGGCCTTGGTGGCCTTGGATTAATTTAAGCCCTGTATACATCTTGATATTCTTCAGTCCCGCTGATTCAAATTTTTGTTGGTCATTTTGCTTTGCTTAAGTTACCACCAACTCTTTGTCTTCTATTGACCCGTGCAGGAAGTGAGGAATGTCTTGCGTGCCAGGATGGCTGCCCGCAGTGCCCGAGGTCAGAAGTCTGTGCAGGGAGGGTCAAGTCGCGGAGCCATGGATGGCAACTCAAGTGGCTCCAGTGACCTCTTCTCGACCATTCTGCTCACCAGGGACAAGTGTATTCCTGTTGTCCAGGGGCTAGTAAGACTTTTGCTGGCTATGGATTTCACCTGCCATGTGGACTTGTTCCTTGTCACTTGCAAGGTAGGAAATGAAGTACTGAAGAAAGAAAAAATCATGGGTGCATAAAACATTCAAATGATCTGAATCATAAAGTATAGTGAAAACAAAAAAATTAAGAGAAGAAAGTACACATGTATGCAAAATTAAATGTGTATCAGATTGAGTGTAGTGGAAAATTGTCTAAGAGATGATATATTCCAGAAATAAATAATTTGAAAGAGATCAAGTTTTATACTAGAACAAAACTTTTCATACATTTCATTCATATGATCCTTTTTTTTCTTCCTAAATTACAATATTATATGCTCCATCATGTTTATACCTGTATTTATGTTGTCTTGTGTTGTTTTTTAAAATAATCCCTAGACTGCAGTTGTATTTGTTGTCATGTTTCAAAGAAAGTGCCATTAATCTTTTTTTCTCCATGCCATGAATATTCAAATTAAGGGTGCATCTAATCCTCTAGTACAAGATAATCTTAGCCTTTGATTCTGACTGACCAAATTTGCATGTATTTCTACTTGCTGTACAGGTTCTGGCTAGAATAGCCAATGCAACCAGACCAGCCATCACACTACCTGAGATCATGAGTCAAGATCAGCTGATACAGCTGGTATCAAGGTTCTGCAGTAGTGAGTACTGCGCTGGTAACTCTGCCTGGGGAGGTCCTTGGCCCTCACATGCTATCACCTGCCTGCTCTTGGATATCCTGGAAGGTATAGGACAATTTCCTGCCAAATCTGAGTAGAGTAATGGTTTCAGACAAAGCTTCTTTTCAGAAATATTTTTGATTTTTCTAAAATTTGTGAAATGTTTCTGTTTTGATCTTAACAGTATGTCAGGAAAATTATGTTTAATTGTTATAAATTTTATTCCACTGTATTTTTCACAGAAAGCTAACCAATGGACAAGGAAATTTCTTCTAATCTGACATAACCATACATTAAAAACTCTATGAAATGGGTGCCTTGACATGCTTGAGTTCATGCAATTACAATTTTACTTAAATAGGGTGAAATGGGGAACAATTTTAGGAAACTGCTAGTTATAACTTGTTTTTCTTCCCTACAGGTGAGAGATTGTACCCCTATGTGGAGGAGCCTGCCGGTGCTTCAGGTGGAGCTTCCTATTCCCCTCCCATGGGAGCCACAGGTGCTGATCCAGACCTGATAGCAGACTCCCTGGCCAGTGGTGGGGCCGAGGCCGGTGCACCTGCTGATGCCGCGGAGGCTGAAGTCAACAATGCATCGGGAGGAGAGTATGATTCTGGTGGTAACGGAGGAGAAGGAGAGGAGAATGAAGCCCTGGAAGAACCTCTGATCATTGGTATGTTAAAACCATTTCACAGTTGTAGTCATGATAATATGCATTCATAGAGTCTATGGCTTGTTTAGTTTTGAGTAAGGAGAGGGTTAATTCACTCTTCTCATATTATACCATCCCATTATTCTTTAACATGAATATGAGAAGAAAGAAAAAGGAGTACAGAGCCTAAAATCGACATCAAAATAAAGGAAACTTGTGGAAACAATCCATATCTTCTTGCATTGTTTCAATTGAAGCATGATATTGATTAAACTTCAAGTTACGATAGGGTGCAAAATTGGTGAGAAACTCATTCTGAATTAGTACAGTCTGTGTACTACTGATACAGTTGGAAGAGTCTTCAAAAGGCGTTCTATAAATATAAGAATAATGGAGAAGACACAAATCCAAAACTTACCCCTTGACCACTTGTATATATTATGATTGTGTGTGCTTTTCTTTTTACAGATGAACTGAGTGGAGATCCAGACATTGTAGGAGAAGGAGGCAATGATCCCCTGGTAGACATGGATTTGCTCTTTGGTTCATGGAAGACCAGTGGAGGTCTCTTTGGTGAGAATGCTCCAAAGAAAGTAGCCCTGAAGAGTGGAGCTGGGAGCATGGTAGATCCTGTCAAGATCCCTACCTCAGCTCTTCTCGCTTACGCCAAGAAGAATAGGAAAGACAAACTGAAAATCCTAGTCAGAGGAGATGGAAGAGGAGAAAGTGCAGGATCAGCTTTCACCCCACGGATGTCAAGTGCAGTTGATGCAAGATTGGACCAAGACCTGGAGATGAGTGCAGAATGGTTTTTGAAGATGTCCAGCTTGATGGAGGCAGAAACCGTCAGTCAGACCTTCACTAGTCTTCCACCTCCACCTGCCTTTGCACCGGAAGAGAAACCAGACGTAGAACTCTTGGATATGGGGCAGACTGATGATGACCTGGCAGCAAGTAGAGCCATGAGTGGAAGCAGTAGCAGCATTCACCCTACAATGAGATCCTCCAGAGACCTTCTGGCAGCATGCTTCCACCAACTCTTTGCTGGACTTGAGGCAGGTCGCATCAGACTGCATTCCTTGCTCCAGCTGTGGCTTACAATCAATGAGGGAAGCATCAATGATACAGATGGAAACACCAGTCACTTTAACGATTCCAGAGTGCCAAGCTTTCCCCTGGACAAACCATCCATCAGTCACATGCTGGCCACTCTACGGAAAGAACACACTCTCAGTGTGTGGACTTGGTGTCTGGCTTTCAGAGTGCTGACAGTCCAGATCAACACCAGGGGTTCTACCAAGGATGCAGTGTCAGTAGCAAACTCAATGGTCAATGATCCAAACATGTTTCACTCTCTTGTCAAGTTCCTGTCTGGTGGATCATTCCAGGGTCGAAGGTCTGGACACCAAGACTTTCAGGTAAGATATGAGCTTTTTATTATTTCAATGACTATTTGTCTTAAATCTCAATCTGAAAAGACTGTTATTTTTTTTCTTTGTATGATGAATTTTATTGTTGTTACTTGTTAAGGATAAGTGGTTACTAAGACTTTTCTTGATGTATGTCTCACCTTTAGGTTGGGCCAACTGTGACTCTAGCCTTTCATCAACTGCTACTCAGATTACATCTGAGGGTGTTCTCTGGACCATCTGCAGGAGCAAAGGCACTCAAGAACCTACTGTTGAAGGTCGTGCAGACTCTAGTTCAACCAAGGTTTGAATTTGTTCCTTACCTTATATGTATTCTGTAGTACATGATATGGGGTTGCTTTAATTAAAGATACTTAGAAGTAATATGAACATATATGAGGCAAAATGATTTTGGTTGATAGTCCCAAATGATACCTATATTGTGTAATAATACTAATTTAAATACTGATTAAATTTTGTTTTATCAAGACATATGTTCTACTTATCCATCCCCCATCCTCCACTTACAGAGAGGCCATCAGTGCAGGAATAGGACCATTGGATGCCCAGATCACCTTCTTGGAGCTTATCTTGGAGCAGACCTTTAGCTCTACAGACCTGAATAGCATTGCAACAATGGTGGATAACATTACTCTACTGATCCATGAACATGTCATTGATGGAAGTGGAGTGACCCAGCTGGGCAGTGAGAATGGGGGCTCAGCCCGAGCCAACCTGGCTAATGTTCTGGCTGGGAAGCTCAAGGCGGGTGCATCGAGAGTGCTGCATAATGAAAACAGTAGAGAGGCTTTGATGTGTGGACTTCTGCAGCTTGTCAACGAGCTTCTGAAGATGTCGGTGTCACAAGATCCATTCGGTACTTCAGTTTGGTCACCTGTGGGAGGCAGGGGGTCCCTGCACAGTGGTGGCGTGGCATACCCAACCCCACCCACTTCTATGAGCGATGATGACAAGGAGAGGAATGGAGATGTGAGTGGTCTGTCTGCAGCAGCCAGCAGCGCTTTTGCCTCTTGGGCAGCAGCGCCTCCTCAGTCTCAACCTGCTGCTCCCCTGCGACTAGCAGACCTTGTCCTCACTAACAAGGAAACAGTGTCCAACTTGTTGTTTGCTCTAGGACATTCCAGCAGTATGGCCATGGCAGCCATGCTGAATCCAGGCTTCTTCTCACAGGGCAGTGAGCCCCTTCTGAGCGCTGAACCCTTATCAATAGGAGACCATATCTTCCAGATCCTGGCTACTCTTAACAAGGAAGCATCACATGTCAGGATTGTCCTTCAAGCAATCCTGTCCTATCTCAGCTGTGCCAATGGAAGAAGGGGAGAGATGCTTTCAGAACCTCTACTGTGGTACACACTGAGTGTCCTCAACAGTCCTACTGCAATGGATTCAATGCATGAAATTGGTGAGGCTTTTAGGGTATTGAACTTTTGGTTCTTAAAATCTCTGAAGAATACAAAGAAATTTGTTACTACTGGAAACAAATAAGAAAGTAAAGGTAATGATGAGTTGACATGGAGAATAAATACACTCATTTCAGATTTGTATATATTAAAATATAATACGATGTGAATGTATAATTTAATAAGGTTAGAATTGGAAAGACAATTACAGTTGCAAAGTGACCGAGTCACACTATGAGATATTGCAATGTTTGTGCAACTGTTGTAGTGATTAGAATTCTACTGGATACAAGGTTTGTGTATTTCCGGATGTTGAAGTTTAAGTTTGTGCCCCGTAATTTTGCAGCTGTGTATTATAAGAAAATTCCAAGTGGTTATGAAAATATTTTAAAATGTGTCTTTCAGGAGGAATTGAGATCATCTGTGCCAACCTGGTCAACAGCAGTCGAGCAAGCATCGATCCCAACCCTAGCATCATCTCCCCCATCATGCAACTTACCTGTCCCCCTAAGGCTCCATCATCCAACACAAGCAGCACAAGTAGCAGTACCAACACCGGTTTCACCAAGAGGGGATCCTCAACTGTTGATGAGGAGAATGTTGAAGGCTTCACAAACTTTGCTCCTTACGGTATGCTTTCCATTAAACCAGGACTTATCAATATGACCTTGCATATATTTCTTTGGCGCCATTGCACATTCAGACCATTTGAATTTTTTATGCACCCTTGTAAAATCATTCCTGTGCAGTTTTTGGTTCACTTAATTTGTGAATTGTTCTTTTGCATTCTTGCAATCGCTGGAACATTTAGTTGAAATTATCAAATATGTGTGAAAGTAATATTAGGGTTTAGATGAGGCTGCAAGTTATAGATAGTGCAATCAATTTTGAATTCCCTTCACAATTGGTGATATTGTTGAATTTTAGTTGCAATTTTCAGATAAAGTTATGGAGGAGTAGATGGTATAAATTACCAATGGATATAACATGAGTTTCTATTTTTTTAGAAGTAATGCAAGAAAACTGTTTTTCAAAGATCCCTGTTTTAGACTTCATCATGCTTCTAGAGTGTATGAATAGAATTTGATTTTGCTTGTCTTCTTACAGGTGTGATTAGTTGTAGCAACATGACAACTCGACCAGCAGAGTCCTTGCTGCTACCAACCCTCTCTAATCGACGTAGCAGGCAGTCTTGGGCCCATACCTTCTCCTCAGAGGAGACCTGGTGTGATCTTACCATCACTCTACCTTGTGCAGTAGTGCTAGAGGAGATCCATATTCTTCCCCATGTTACCAATCTTGCAAGTAAGTCTCAAGGATTTTTCTTGATGGTCTTTAAAAAGATCACGTATGAATTGAAATCTCTGTGGGTTATCAAAGTGCTTTGGAAACTGTGTTGTAGATTACTCATCATGAATTACAGCAGTATATTTCATGTAAAATCAGATTTCATCATCATTGACAAACCTATAGATCTGATTACTAAAGATATATGTCTATTGACTATGTCATTTCTATTTTAAATTTTAAATTTCAGTAAGATTGAAGAGAAAAATGTTACTCTCTTAACCTGTGATCAGTATAGCTGTGAACATTCAAATAGCATTAAGTAGAATGTCAATTTTTGTTTAAATGATTTATGTAATTGTATAAAGGTTCAGTCAAATCAATATTATTATTTTGAAACTTATCTCTTCTTACATCTGCAGCATGTCCCTCTGCAGTGTCAGTAGAGATTAGCCCCAACGGCTCCAGCACCATCCCTGTATGTCCACCCCTTGCGACTAGTGGCCTTACCTCCATCAAGCTCAAGATGCCTCGTCCCATGGTCACCTCATCAGTATGTCTGCAGCTGAGGCGACCCAGGGAGTCCACCCTGATGGCACTGACACGGATACGACTGCTTGGGACTACAGTGTTGGGAGGTGGTCAAACTGGTGGCAGCGGTGGGATCAACTTCTCTCATCCTTTGAGTGGACTGCCTCTAATACCACCCACAAACCCACACCATGTGGCTGAAGATGAAGCAGTCAGAGGAAGGTGAGTTCTTGTCTTTGTAAATTCCTTGAAGCTAATTGCCTCTGCTTTATATTGTTTTCTTACTGTCTTGAGAGTCTTTTATGTTGGAAAAAGTCTGAAATGAGACAAGAAATCAGACTATTTTTATGATTAAAGGTAAAGACCAGTTATGGTCATGCGATTGCATTGTGAAAGAAACGTTGGGGAATCGATCAGAAAAGGTTGATCATCTAGCATCTAGCATCTGCAAGGTTCTGGAATCATCAAAATGATAAGAAATTTGGCCCATTCTTCGTAAAGTTACAAGCACTATACACAGAAAGATGTATATGGGACTACCCTATATCTCTCACAGACCATGAGAGAAACAAATTTACCAAATATATGAATTAGTAGGCGGTTTCCCGGCAAATTTTTTATCATCATGTATTAGTCAAAACATATTCTTTCACATGATTGGTAATGAGAGCTTCCATTTCATTTTTTGAAATTGGGGTGTTTCCAAAACTGGTCTTTACCTTTAATTGTTATTGTATGTGTATAGTTTGACTCTATCAAAATTAACACGAAGTATGATCTCCAAATTATAATGTTTATTTCAATCATGCAGAAGGGTACCGTAATTAACGTTGTATAAACCGCCCTCGTGTATTAACCGCACCCCTCTTTTTCGCCCTTCAAAAAAAAACAGTAGAGGACCTAGGACAGAACCTTGTGGTACGCTGTGTAATAGAAGAAAAATTGGAGGAATTATTTTTATCAACTACATATTGAAATCTATCAGAAAGATTACTTTCAAACCAAGATGACAGACAAATTTGAGTGTTGTTCTAGTTTCCAAGTGGTGAGTCAACACACCGATTACTGAGCTGGGAGACATTGCCAGGCATAGCGCCAGGTGGAGGGGCATAAATTGAAACTTATAAACCACACCCCCGACTTTGAATTTTTTTCGGCGGCAAAAAGGTGCGGTTAATACACCGTTAATTACAGTATATTTTACAGAATGTGTAAAAATATACCCTCTGTATGTTAATGTATGAAGTTATTCAATAGATTTGGATGTTAATATGCCTTAGAGAATATTTCATCATCTTTACATCCTTACATACTTGTACCATCTGATTTCCTAACTCATTAAAACAACCCTGTATTTTTCCCTAAAAGCACACGTTGGCTGAGACTCCTGCACCACTGCCTAGCTGGAACATTCCTGAGCAGCACAGTATCAAGCATTGCCCAGACGGCATCCCAGACTCCTGGCCTTCTAACTACCTGTATGGCCCTACTGGCCTCTCCTCACTGCAGGCCCAATAGGAGGGACATTGAGTCCCTACTCCTGCAGCTCAGTAGGTCCAGGACTGAAGTAGGACTGGCCCTTGTGGACATGTTCCTTCGTAACAACTACTGCTTTGGTCATGGTGAACATGGTGAGAACATCTATCCATCATATGGTTTGATTTTTCTGAAATGCGATTTGTCAAGTATAACCTCTAAAATTTTACTTGTTTGATTAATTTCTGTCCACTTTCATTGTTTATTTGTAATTTGAAAGCCATTTGAGACACTGAATACTACTATTCTAAAAATTTCATGCAAAAAAATTCAACTATTTTCTGTAAAAGTTTAATTAGTGGTTAACAATTGATATTGAAAAAACGGGTCATTACATGTTTGTTAAATGTACCGGAAGCTGATACATTGATGGATACAAAATATCTCATGCTATTTTTCAGATTCTGGATTGGGTCTTCTAGGACGTCCATTTAGTCTCGCTTCAGATTCCAGTGTAGATATCATTTACCAGCTAGGCACAGGCTCAGATGCAGGCACCAGAGAAAGGTTAGTATCACCTTATCATGTAATCCTTGAGTTCCCACAGCAAGGATTGGTATAAGATGTCATCAATATGGTATAGTTGCTTAAAATTGAATTTCATTGCTTTTTGTTGTCATGTTCATGAGACTTAATCTGAAGTGTTGGGAGTCATCTCACATGTACATGTACATGTATGTAATATAAATCTATAAAGCGTAGAAACTATGGAAATATTTTCTACTGCACTGCAAGAGCTCCTGATGTGCTTGAAATTACTTTGGGTGTAATAATCTAAAGAAAAAAAAGAAAGATTTTTTCATTATAATTTGTTAAAATTGAATTAGTTCCTTAAAATGTATTAACTGTAGAACCAGTGATCCCTTTGATGATGTCCTCTTCATAGGATGTTGTCTTTGTGATTTATTATGATTAAAAAAATGAAAGGAGGATAATTTTATATGATTCAGGATCTTTGTGTAATCTGGAAGTTTCTAAATTCCAAGTTCTATTTTTTGTTCTCAACAGATTACAGACTCTTCTGGACTGGTTAGGAGACACAGCTCGAGTAGCCCTGCACATGCATAGCAGCTACCACCGAACACCCCGTACCTTCTCTCCTGTTGAGTCGGGTCTTCTGCATCCTGCACCCATCCATGTTCACTGTGTGGCTGCAGTCCTTTGGGCAACCCATTCTCAAAACACCATGCAACATATGGTGAACATGATCCCAACAGAATTGTTCAGGTATGATGCCGTAGTTGGGATTGTTTCAATGTCTTTTGACCGAGGATGTACTATGAGCAACAGATACAGTCTAGATCCATTCGGCCATCTGTTTGAATTCATTTATTAAATCTTTATACATAGTATATGCTCTTTCAAAATGTTCAATGAAATAGAATACAATAAATGTTCATAATACAGAAATAGTTAACTTGAAGTTTGTTTCTCCTTTTCATTGTTGCTGCACAGAACACTTTGGAGCAAATTTGCTGTAAGATCCCACCCCCCCCCCAAAAAAAAGTGCTACTTCTCACATTTTTCATATATGCTATTGCAGTGCTTCAAATCCTTGAATAGAAACATTGAAATATTTTAGGTTATTTCTAATTGATAGTTTGTAAGAACAGTCTTGAATAATTAATTGAATACATTATCTTTTTGTCCAGTTCCATCTATGAATGGTCTACTGTGCTGCCAGTCAACTCAGCCCTGAAGAGAGCAGCAGACTTTGTCTTGTGTTCAATGTGTATGATTCAACCAGCTCACTTTGACTCCTTGCTTCAATGGATGGGGGTTATGGTTGGAGGACCGGTGGAGTTACAAGCCTCTATCACAGGTGAGTACACAAATTCAAAAATCTTAACCCCCTTTTGTGATGTAAGCATCAAATTTTCACCCCCAAAAGGAAATGATAAACTTATTTTATTTGGACTTCCGATATCTATTTCTATCTTCAAGAAACAGAAGCAGTTAGATATCCCTGTAATTTCTTTTACAAATTTGTTTCAATGCAATTTATCTTATGCCTATTTAAAAACGAAGTAAAACTGTAGAACTACATACTTTGACTCATTAAAGTTACATTTCAAGTGATTATTGTAATTTGTATTGAGGCAGAAGGGTAGAGGGAAACTACTCTTTTTGTATAGAATGGACTTGTAAAATTTTGAGAAACCAGGTGCATTGCCAAGCCTGTTATATTTACCACAATTTACACTTATTTGAATTTACATACATAAAGATTTCAAATGATGAAAGAGATTGATGTGTGAAAAGACATTTTGCTGCATATTGCTTGTGTTTTAATAATTTTGTTTCTAAATGAAGATACATTTATTTGAATAAACTGTTAAATAGTTTATCCCTGTCCTTTCAATATCACAGATGACAGCAAAGAAGATGAGCTGAACATCTCACTGACAGACGACTCCAAGGGCGCTAACCTACAGCACCAACAACACCAGCCACAATCTACTCCTCACCTTCCTTCAAGTCAACCAATCACAAGACAAGAGTTTAGTCATGTGATCATCGATGAGGCTCATCTCTCACTACTAGCCCTGGCTTGTCAGTCTGATGTGGCAACCAAGAGACTCCTGGATTCTCAGTTCCTGGTTCTCCTGGCAGAAGCTCTAGCAGAATTCTGCACACAGGTACATGATTTGCTCTCTTAATGTTTCTTCTTTACACTGATATGATGTGTTACTGTTTGTTGCCTCGGATGTTAAATTTTCCCAAGGATTAAAATGTACAAGATGCATTAGGACTAGGTGAACTAGTTTGTAATTCCCAAAGCAAAAACAGAAACGTGGAATTGTAGGGGTTGTTCTTTCATGCCCAATTAAAAATGATTTTTGTTGTTGTTGACCTTTTAGCATGTAACATTAAAAATGTTTATAGTGCAAATTTTATGCTTTGTAATGCAAGTACCTCATATCTTATCATGATTTTACTTAGGAGCTGATCCGAACAGAGTCATTGAATGGTTTCAGTGATCCCTTGACTGATGCATCCAAACTCAAGGCATCAGGATCCCGTGTTCAGTCACCTCGCTCACCAAGAAGTTCAGCCAGGAGGGGCAGCACTGAATCTCTCCCATCGGATGCTACAGTTGTCCTTACAGCTGACCTGGTAGCCCCTGTCCTCAACTTCTTCAAAGATCTATCAGCACAAATTGAGATCAAGAACTGGCTGGCATCACCAGAGGGTGTGGTCTTCTGGGCACCCCTACTGGCCCTCCTCTGCACCAGTAACACAGTCACTCTGCTCAGCTCAATGCCAAACTTTAATGGAGCACCTCGCCGCTCGCATCTCCTGAGTGCGTCACAACGGGCAGCCCTGGAGAACGCCAGCATCGCATTCTTCTCTCGTTGCACCCTGTGTCATCCCAGCAACCAGAAACTCCTGGCACAGGTCATCTGTGATGTGATCTGCACCCAAGATCTTCAGACCGGTTCACCGTTTGTCATATCAGGATTCATGCGTCGACTGATCCTTCAGCTCATGCTTGAAGATGAGAGTCTGGCTGTAGCAGTCAGCTCAGTCTGCCAGCTGATCAAAGGGCCACAGTCCTGGACTGGACGCATTGTGCACCCCAGCTATGGGCTTGGGCACAAGAACATGTTAGTGGAGACCAAGCTTACATCCACCTGTGCTCAGCTCATAACATACCTAACAGGTTAGGATAAAGATCTTTGCTTGCTTGTACTACTGGGCAATCATTCATGCAGTAACAAAAATAAGTTATAGATATTGTTAAAGCTAATGTGGTGTTTATATTTAAGAAGCTGAGGGTTTTTTTTCCTGAGAGTCTTTATCTCAAAAGATTTTGTGTTTGTGTGTGTTAATGATGAATAAGATTCCAGTATAAGTAAGTTTCATGCACCAACTGTTACGATTGTTTATAGCCTCAGAGATATTTTAGATACAAGTAAAACTTTTAGTTGCATTGAAAGTTTCTTTTTTTCTGGCATTTTTTTTGTATAGATACCCTTGGTCTCAAGAACCTACCAGGAGACAAGAAGCCCAAGCCCAGCAGTGACTCAAGCAAGACTGACAAACAATCCTTTGTAATGGTCAACCTTTCTCCTGATAAATTGGATGTAACTGAAACAGAGGTCAATGGGAATATTGGCAACTCTATAGGTAAGCACAAGAACACTTATAGATTGCTTGAAGTATGTCTTTATAACACTCCACCATATTAACAAAAGCACAACAATATTACTATGTAACTATGTCTAAAAAGAACTGCAGGATTAAGAAAGAGAGAGCGTTGAATTGGAGGGAATACTCCTTGTTCAAAGACAAGTTTATTGGCCTTGATTTAGAATGGACCTTAGACATGGTATTAATTTTTTGCTATGCATGTGTATAATTATGTATCAACATTGTTCTTGTATCACAGATGCTAAACCCAAAACCAGTTCAGTAGCGAGTGCAGAACCCCAAGCAGGCAGCGCAACAAAGCTGCCTACCTCAGCCACCCCATCTTCATCTCAGATCCCCATTTTTGGTGGTATCTTTTCTACGGTGCCTCAATCCACTTCTGCTGCTGCTGCTTCTGCTGGAGCTTCCACATCAGGAGGAGCAACAGGGGGAGCTACAGGTGGAGCTACAGGTGGAGCTACAGGTGGAGCTACAGGTGGAGCGACAGGTGGAGCTGCAGGTGGAGCTTCAGCCACAGCAGGAGCATCAGCCTCTACCGCCGCCTCCGCCTCCACCTCTACCAAGCAGCCAGACAAGTTCCTTCTCTACCCTGGAGCTACCAACTTCCCTACATCCATGGTGCCAACCCTTCCCCCAGAGCTCCTGCCCAAGTCCATGGATCGCTGGGCTCCTTTCTTTAACACCTTCTCCAACCCTGCAACCTCCATGGCAGGAGCTGGGACCTCCTCCTTTAACATGCCTGGACTGGTCATTTCTCACGAGCGCCTTGGTAGCCAGAACTTCCCAGGCCGCATGACAATCGGACAGGCAATCAACATGCTGCAGAGACGTGGTCTGCCTGAAGGAAGCCCCACACTGGAGTTGAACATCAGGATGAGCTCTTCATTATTAGGGGCATCAAAGACTGATAGCTCTAAAACACAGGAAGCACAAGAAGGTATGTTGCATTCTTCTTTTAACCTCAAGACAAATATTGTGTACAGACCCTTTAAGATTATGATGTCGATGCAAGTCATGTTTGGAATCATTATTACAGTTATCTTCACTTATTTATACCCATCTTCAGGTCGCAATGAGGCAAGTACCTCTGCCAACTCCCTTGACTCTGATCAGCACATCCCAGAGGAGGTACTACTGGACACCCCTCCAATCTCATCTTTCCTGGAGGTGTTTGCCCGTCTTGGTGGCCTGGCCCTCATAGCTGAACATCTCCCCCAGCTATACCAGGATGCTCCCCTCGCTACACAGCAGCAGCATCAGGCTAAGAATGGGGCGCATGCCACCAATGCTGGTGGAAGCTCGGTAGATAAGATGACAGCGAGTGGAGGAGGGCCTTCTGCAGCGATGCACTCCAGCTGGTGGAAGTACAGCTCAGATCTTGGTCTGAAGGATCTAGGAGAGTTTGAGGACTATGAGGTAAGGATTCAGGAGAGATTATGCATTCAATGTTGGACTCTGCCAAGAACCAGTAGGATGTTATTTCAGATTAAATTAATTGAACGGATAATCCTTTTGTGAATCTGAGCAGAGTGTATCAAAATTTAACACCTTAAATTAGATATTTTAACTATAATTTCTCCATTCTGCATTATGTTGGTATAAACCTTACATTCTTCAGAATTGTATCAAAATATGGATACAATGGAAAAATAAACCATTGAGTAGAAACAACTTTGGAAGGTTTTTTTGAAAGCTGATTTAAGCCTTACAAAAAGTTATGAAAAATGAATAGTTTGTCATGTAGGTATGCAATCAATGGCATAGAATTCTATGGAATTTACAGGTACAGTGCACCTGTAAAATCTAAGAGTTATACATTAAAAAAAGTAACAACAATTCAAAATTATTCCCCCCCCCCCAGGTCCTCATGGAAGGACCTCACAGCACCACTATCACATCTGTTGGTGGCAGCACCCTTACCACTACCTCCAATGTACCTTCCTATGGATTGGGAAGCACCGCTGCCCATCTTCAAGCCACCTCCTTCTCCAACATCGGTCCCCTACATACCATACCCATGACAGCAGCCTCCTCCTCGTCCTCCTCCTCCTCGTCCTGCCCTCCCCAGGGCTCGGCTGCAGGCCAGACCATGGGTAGCTGCACGGCTGCAATCCCTCCTCACTCACTTGCAGCGTTTGGGCTGTTCCTGAGGCTGCCTGGGTATGCAGAGGTGCTACTGAAGGAGCAGAAGAAGGCACAGTTCTTGCTGAGATTGATGCTGGGAGTCACTGATGATGGGGATGGAGGTAGGCTTTTGATCATTTTTTGTTGAACATTTGAAGCAGGAGGTAGTTCATACATGTATGTTGTTTAGGAACTGGGGGAGAAAATACTCCACTCATTGTTTGTATTCTTTATTCTGTAGTCTTTTACTGCCCACAGCAAACCATGTACTATGAAAACAAATTTTTAAGTGGAAGCCATGTTTTAAACTAGGTATTTTCATTTTTACTAACTAATGTTGAGTTGCATCATACCATAAGAAATATGTTCTCTTGTAGCCACTGGAATGCTCTATAGATAATTGTACTTGAAAATCACTGCTGCCACACCAGTTAAAGGTAATACAAAGTTTTGGGAAATTTCGAAAATTGGGTGGATAGTAATTCTTTACAATTTTGATATATTTGGATGCCCCTGTGGATGTATTAAGGGCACAACAAAACTTAGCCCCTAAAACAATTCTGCTTTTGAGAAAAATTGAATATAAACATTTACCGGTGCTCCCGGTTAATGTTGATAAATTTCAAATAGCGCCTACGGCCGTACAATGGTAGCCGCGACCATGAAAATCACAGAATATGTAGTTGTGATATATAATTTCCAAACGGGAATAGCAAATCGGTCGATTTAAGTCAAGAAACATTGTTTGATAGCTTAATTAATATCTTGACCTTGAGAGGGAGCCATACAACATGAAGAGCTTATTATTGACAATTTCATAACTTTAGACTCGATTTCAACCGCGACAACGATCACTGAATATTTTAGGATCACATTATGCTTCCAATATGTTCATTTGAACCAAATCCATGACCCCATACCAAAACTTTGTATTACCTTTAACACTGAATAATCACATTTTCAAACTACAGGTCAGATTCTGTCATCTCCTCTGGCGACGTCCCTCCCAACTCTTCCCTTCACTGTACTGGTCACTCTCTTTGACTCCACACCACTGACCACTGATGATGGGGTATTGCTAAGACGTATGACCCTGGAGATTGGAGCCATTCATCTTGTACTCGCCTGTCTCTCTGTTCTTAGTCACCATGGTCCTAGGGGAGCTTCACAACCTGCAACAGCAGAGGGTGGTGGTCCATCAGTAAGTTATTATAAACAAATGATCACGTGTGAACTGTTAGTATTGGATGTTCAATGAACCCTAGAGATATGGACAATTCATTCAAGTGTTGACCTGTGTCTCAGTAATCAGTCATCATGGTCTTACATGATCTTCTAAATCTCCTTCAAGAGAGGGAGGTGCATCAATAAGTTATCATCATTAATTAATTACAGTTATATATGTAGTTGAATCTGCCCAAATTAGAGTCAAAAGCATAATTTTCCTTGCATGCTGGACACCAATAGATTATGTCTGTTCTCTGGATTTCCATGGTCTTAGTAGTTCTGATAATAGAATCTAAGACCAGCATGCTTTAATTTTAGCATTATTACCTAAATACCAGAATTATAATTTTGGTACAAATTTAGCATTCCTATTATAGCCATTAGAATTCAGATGTAAATATGTAAAAATGAAAATTCATGCATTGCTATTCATTATGCTTCATCTCACTCACACCATCTTTCTCATTGTCTTTATACCTACAGGTCGCCAATGGCAGTCAAGTAGGTGGTGTGAATGACAAGAACCAGAACTTCTGGGCCAAGGGAACAGGCTTCGGGACAGGATCAACCACCTCGGGCTGGAATGTGGAGGAGGCCCTCGTTAGGCAGAAAGCAGAGGAGGAGCATGTAACGTGTCTTCTCAAGGTAATTAACTCATGATATTTTCAAGCACATTTTTCCTTAAATAAGAATAATTTTGAGTTTCAAACATTGCGATTTCCAATAAATGACTATACTATTTAAAAATATTTCTGATAATTGTGTCGTTACCATGTTTGACCAGAGATTATTAACAATATTTAAACTCTTACATTCTCTACGTTGACCAGAGTTGTCAGTGTATAAATTTTGACTCTCACAAACTTGTTCATAATTGTGTACTGAGAGAATGGCCAGGCAGGGATGAAAGTAGTTGCATGCATCAAGGATCTTACATGTATTTCAACTTGTAGATTTCAATGCTTTATTTACCTATCAACCTCTTACCCACAAGTATACTTTGTGGATTTTCCCATTACTTAAACTTCTTTGATGGACTGCCAACTGCTGAGATTTAATATTTAAAAGGAAAGATGTCATTGTACTTCATTCTACAACTGTTGCTGGATTGATCATGTAGGTTCTGTCAAGCTACATCAACCCAATAAACAGTACATCATCTAACGAGAGGTCAGCAAGCATTGATCAGACCAGTGGTGACTTGGACCAGGAGCAGCTAACCACCATCTTCCCAGCCGTCTTTGTGGAGTTACTCACCCAATCCTGCCTCATCCCAGCTATCTCATCCTACCTCAGGAATGACTCAGGTCAGTCTAAAAGATGCAAGATTTTAGTCATGCTTGTGGACAAACCAAGAGGCCACTTTGATCTACCGTAATGAGATCACAATTTGGGGAGATCACATGGGTTCTGATATTGTGGTGTTGAGAGTTTTTGGTACAGTGCTCCTCTGTCATTCTACTAGATACCTTGTATCTAGTGCAAATATTGTATTGAATGAGGAAGATAAGGTTTTTAATTTATCCATGTGAGATATATGAAATGAGATACATTCACTTGAGTAATCTTTACTGACCTATCATCTTGGCAGGTATAACATTTACAGCTGGTACTTGCTTTCATCCAAATTTATTTCCAGAAGTACTCTATGTATTCCTTCATCTCTCATTACAGTTCTTGACATGTCTCGCCATGTGCCCCTGTACTGTGCTGTCCTGGAGATCCTCCGTGCCTTGGCCCTGTGTCCCCTCCTAGTGCACTTACTGCTTCCTCAGGGAGACAATGGTGACAAGTCGGTCATCAAGCTCCTAGAGAACATCAAGGGATGTGTCGACACCTACACCTCAAAGCTCAAGTAAGATATTGCATTTGGATTTAATGAGGGAGAAAGTATCTTATGTTCTGATAGAGTGTCTGATTTTGGCATCATGTGGCAATACCTTTTAACTTCTAAGAAAAAAACCATAAATAACTTGTGAACCAAAAAAATCTGGTGTATAATTGTTCTCTTTCTTAAAACTTTTTTTCTTTTTCTCGTCCGTCTTTAGACTTGTGAAGCCAAGCAAGAAGTCTAGCTCGAGGCACAGTAGTACCACCAAGGAATCGTCCACAATATCCAAGGAAGAAGAAGCAGAGGCAGAAGGGCTGACCCAGCTCGTCCCAGAGATACAGAGGACAGTAGAGATGGTCAAGAAACTCACCAGCAAGATACTAGCACAGAGACAAGGTCATTACTGGTCATTTTATGGGGGTGGGGGGGGGGGCAGTTGAGATGGTTGATTATCTATCATTGTAGTGTTTAAAGCCCCACTGTAGCTTCTTGCTCCCTCTTTATAGAAAACAATGCCTAAGCGGTGCCCGTTGGTCCCCCATGATCCTCTTTTTCTTATGTTACTTAAGAGCTGATTTGATGAGATAGCCACCTGTCATGAACCACACTGGGTGGTCTAATCCTTCCTAGCCAAACTAGTACAGACAGGCTTTAAAGGGATACAATTTCCCAGATCATGACTTCATTTATTTAGAGAAAGTAGAAAGCTAACTACCAGAACAACATTGTCCATATCAGTATGTGAAAAAATGAATGAATTGTGAAGGAAGAGCTTAGAAGGCATAAACCGAACCAAAGTGACGATAATGTGCTTATTGCTTGATAAACGGATTACTTCGAAAATATTGATTTACAAGTAAAATGATCAGCCAACTGTATAACTGCTTGGTTTGCTCTGAGAAAAGAGACTTGTTTGTGCGGGGTCTTTGTTTACTAATATCCACAAACTAATCGCCTCTTTAAAAGTTATTTGAGCTGTACAAAGAAAAGTATGCAATGATTTTGTTATGTTTACATTTGTAGGTGAGCTCAATGACCTTGATGGTGCTGGTGCTTCTGCCGGTGGTTCTAACTCAGAGGCATCCAAGTACCAGTCTGCTGATGAGAAGTACATTGCAGTCATGACTGATCTTCAATTCGGTGAGTTCAACATTTCAAGAGAAGAGTGGTGGTGTTCCTATTTGAGTTTGAACAAACTTGCAGAAATGCAGGCACAGTAATGACGTCTCAACTAAAAATGCCATTAAAAAGATATCTCAATGTTCACAATGTTTAGTAGTCTTTGGGTACACTTTTGTATTGTTTTCTATAAATGGCATTTTTTCACTTTTTCAAAATGAATTTTTCTGAATTTTTAAGCAAGGAAATGTGATTTACCATTGTCTGTACTAAACTTGTGTTACAGGTTACAGTTGAAATTGATGACAAAATATAGTAATTGTTCTCCTTCTGTAATCTTTAACAGATAAAGAGGCTCAGTTAATTCAATTATTTATGTTGTGAATTGATCTTTTGTTTTTTGTTTCAGACACTTTCCAAATGGTGACAGAGGACAGCAAGGGTAAGATCCAGTTTGCAGTCCCGCATCACTACGCATCCAATGCTAAGTCAGTCGGGAATGTAACCAATGCAGCACGAGCTAGGAGATTAGCTCAAGAGGCCGTGACACTCTCAACGTCCCTGCCTCTCTCGGCTTCATCCAGTGTCTTTGTGCGGTGTGACGAGGATAGGCTGGATGTGATGAAGGTAATCAAATACTTGTAGCCAGAAAATTTTACTAACTGGATTATCTATAGACGGGACACCTAGTGATGGAATGTATAGTGTTGATACATTTTGAAGCGGCTAAAAGACACAATAAATTGATATTTGGGTGGTCATTGTGAAGGTTTTGTCGTCCTGTGGAATGATAGGAATGTAGGTCATGTTATATGTATTTTAATTTCATAATTGTAGCCTTGTTTTGTACTTTAGCCAACCTGCTTTATTGACCACTTGTATACAATGGGCACCTCTTGGAGACTGCATCTTGTTTGTATTCCTTTTTTCTTCATGAAAGCCTGCATTAAAGTTATTATGTGTTTGAATAATCTATCAGAAAATACATACAGTTTTTCTTGTTTCCCTTTTGAGCAATCAGTGTTAAGAAGCTTGCCTGTGATACATGTGTTGAAGAATAACAACAAGAAAAAAAAAAAGGAATATGTTACAATGTGTATTAAACCAAGCAATGGATCCATGTCTTATATCCCACCCAGGTACTCATCACTGGTCCATCAGAAACACCTTACTCTAATGGATGCTTTGAGTTTGACATCTATTTCCCTGCTGACTATCCTAACTCACCCATGCTTGTCAACCTAGAGACTACAGGACAACACTCGGTGCGCTTCAATCCAAACCTCTACAATGATGGCAAGGTGAGTGAGGAGGTCTTTGGGCTGTTGAATTAGCAGTGTGATTGTATGCAAATGATGCATGTGAATACGTTAGTTATATGAGATGAACCTGTGTGCATCTCTCATACAAATCCGTCGAGTAGATTAGCTGTACTTGGGCTCATCGAAAACTGATAGCTCTTTAAAAAAAAAAATGAAGGTATAACATCATTTGTGTTATACAATGAATCTTGTAGATCCTTGTTTTTTTATTTTAAAAAGGAAGACCATTTTAATTTTTTATGTCATTATCTATGACAGATAATACCAACTTTAGTCATTTAACTTTTGCCTGCACACAGTAGAAGTATACATGTGTCTACATATGCTCAGTTGCACATCTAATAAGTCATTAGATAGTACTGAAATGTTCAATTGCAGAAGGAAGTCTTGATCTTATTAAATATACCCATTAAAAATGAGCACTTTGTTCACATTTTCTTTAGGACTGACTGAACATGAATGTATTGCCTTTGTGTTTTTTTCAGGTGTGTTTAAGTGTTCTTAACACATGGCATGGCAGACCAGAGGAGAAATGGAACTCACAGACTTCCAGCTTTCTACAGGTATGGCAATACTGACCCACAAAGTTTTTTGTTTTTGTTTAATGTCATAAGAAATATTTTTTATCTATTTTTGGGGCCCTGGTGCTCTTTGATTGTATATGTTCAGCAAGCCCATATGTTGAATGATTGAATTTTGGTTATTACAGAAATAATTGTTGATTTGATAGTGTATCACATTTAATTTGTTGCACTTAAAAATCGGGGAGAAAGAGCTGGGGATATGAAGAGGATAAGACAAGTAGATAAATTATGAGGCTGACAGACAGCAATAAACATAACACATGAGTGAGAGAGAGAGAGAGAGAGACAGAGTGAGAGAGAGAGGGGGGGGGGGGGGGTGGCATTGAGGCGATGTGTCGTCATCATTCTCTGAGTAAGAAAAAGGAAATATGTTACAAGAAACAAGATACACTATGTTTTATGATTCTAATTTTCTTTCTTGGTATTTAGGTGCTGGTCTCCATCCAGTCCCTGATCCTTGTTTCTGAACCCTACTTCAACGAGCCAGGTTACGAGAGATCTCGGGGCACCCAGGCTGGCACCTGGAGCTCCAGAGAGTATGATGCTAACATCATGCAAGCCACTGTGGAATGGGGCATGCTGGACATGGTCAGAAACCCACCACCAGTCTTCAAAGATGTAAGTAACTAAGGTGCTGGGTTGGTGGTGGTGGCAACCAAAAAATTACTTTTTTTTTTACGAGGGCTCTTTTCAGATTTTCCCTTAAAAAAATAGCCCCCCTTAATTATTTTGCGGTGGCTATTTTGGAGCTCAGGGGGGCTTTATTTTTTAAAGGTTGTATTTTTTTTAAACGCGGTTTTACCTAATTAAATTCCAAGCAAAGGCAAATATAGATCTAGATACAATTGTAGCGTACATACATGTATGTCATGTAGAGTATTGCAGACATTCAGATACCCATGATTTATTCACTTTGTGTTAAACGTGTGGCTTTATGATTTACATATACATGTAACTAAAACTTGTCAAAAGGAGTGTTTTGTTTAACTGTTCGTTTTTCATATCCTAAGAAAATATTATCACTGACACGCGGGCTAGGAATTAATTTTTTTATGGGGGCTACTTTTCCCCATTGCCTAAAAAAAAACCAAGGGGCTACTTCCTTAAAGCCATATTGTAAGCTGTAACAATAAGTTGTGTTTTTCCTTAGCCATCATACTACTAGCAACCAAATTGGTAGGTAATATGTTATTTAGTCTTTTTTTCTGTCCCAAATTTAATTGTTATCATGGACAATGCAATCCCATTAAAAAAAAATGTAGACCAACTCCCTTTAAAATTGTGTTATTTAGACCATTTTATAACCATTAAATGTGAGTAAATATTTTTACTGTTGTCCCACATACCGATGTAGGGTCTATTTGTTGTGCCGAAACATGCAAAATCATGGCCTTTTTTTTTTTTTATAGACTCTAATTCTAAAGGCCAAGCCAAAGCTAGTTTCATTTCGTAGACAGAAATTGATGTCATCATCACTCATGACAATTGGCCTGGCATCGATCGTATATAAATAATTTAATTTAATTAAACAGTTGTAAGAAAGATTCTGAGGAGTAGGAACATCCTTTATATATTTATTTACGGTTTTTTATAACAAAATTCAATTTCTGTGTACGAAACTTGCTTTATACCGATTTTACAGGAAAAAAATCCGGCATTGATTTTGCACGTTTCGTTATTACAAATATATCAGTATGTGGGACAACAGTAAAAATATACTCGCATTTAATGGTTTTAACTTATAAATAACACAATTTTAGACGGAATAACATTTTTTTTAATGGGATTGCATTGTCCATGATAAAAATTAGGGCCAGAAAAAAGACTAAATAAACATATTACGTACCAATTTGGTCGCTAGCAGTTGAGCTCTCGTCACTCGCAAATACTTATTTGCTTCATACAACTTAAAGGAGCGTGCGGGCGCGCGCTGGAGCTGAGCTAGTACGTTTCTGTGTATTGTGAACGTGTGCGAACTGCGTATGCATTCATGCTGTGCACGAAACTACATCGGGGCCGGTGGCCTGTCCGGCCGCCGGGAGCTTAGGCGCAGGCAGGCGGATTCCGCTGTAGATCTAGCTACAGTAGGTACGACCGCCGATCCGCTGCAACTCACAAAACTTTTAAAATGTTGATGGAAGTTTCTAGTTTTGGAGTTGGTAGTTGGAACGGAGATTTCACTCAGACACATCAATAAATTGGTTTATTAATTCATAGGGAATATCAATTTATGGCGGGGGCGATTTTTCAAGATATATTGATTTTTTTTCGCCCTCGTCTTGATTTTTACCGTGGCGATTTCAGAGGTTTAGGGGGCGAATCGCCCGTCGCCACCGTGTATTTTTTTCGTTGGGTGGTGGTGATGATTGTGGTGGTTGGGGGGGGGGGGGGTGGTGTTGTTTTCTAAAGCTGTGTGTGAGGCAATTATCCTTTTTTGGGGGGGGGGATGTCAATTTCTCTTCTCCAATACAAAAAGCACATGTATTTAGTAATAATTTTGAGGTAAGTGGCGATAATATTTGTTGCCTTTCTGTTCAGGTTCAAGATATGAATGCTCTTCTTGGCTGTTTAGTGATAAGTATTCTTGTTTCTTTGTCAAAAAGAAGATTATTTTGCTGCTGTATTCTGTATTGAAAGTTTATTCATCCATTTACAGTTGTTGCCTTTAGTATTTTGAATATGATACATGTACAAGGTTTTTGAAAGTCTTTCACAACAGGTGAAGGATCTGAAGAGAGAGAGAGAGAGAGACAGAGATTGATCATTTGGGCTTTGTTTTTTTCAGGTTGTACAAGCCCACTTCTACTTGAAGAGAGCAGAGGTGATGGGGCAGTGTGAGGAGTGGATCGCACTGGTTGGTCAGTACTGCAATGATAAGAGGGTTGGCAGGAGTATGCTGCATCACTGGAAGAATCTAAAGGTAGGCCCATCATGGTGGTGGTGGTGGTGGTAATGATGATGATAGTGGTGTTGACAGAGATGCCGATGATGTTGGTAGTGGAGATGGAGGTGGTAATGGTGTTGGTGGTGGTGGTGATGGTGGGGGTGGTTATGATGATGGTGGTGTAGGTGCTAATGATGACGATGATGGTGTAGATGATGATGATAGTGATAATGAGGATTATGTTGATAATATGATTGGTTAATCAATGGTAATGATAACGGATGACCCTCCGTACACATTGAAATTTCTTTTTTCGTTAACTTTAATTAACAATTTTCTCTTACTACAACAGAAACATACAGCAAAGCTGAGAGAAGAACTCAGCAAGCTCCAGCCACCAGAATTCCTTCGAGAACAACTAGATCCAGAGGTCGAGCCCCTACCCCCACTCTCATCGGACGTCACCAATGATGTCAGCTGTGCCTCTGTCTCTGAAGATGCAGACAAGAGCAGTGAGAATGATGCTGAGCACAGTGGATCTTCGTCATCGTCACAGGAGATTACAACCGCAGAGACATCGACAGCTGACAGTCAGGTTGCCGAGCCAAGTAATATGTTTGGGATGCCTCCAGGAGGGGTTGTTGTTTATGACCCTGTATGGGGATTTGATTGAAGTAAGTGACTAAGTGTGAACAGGTCCACAGGATTCCATGGTTATCCGTCATCTGCTCAGTAATCTAACTCTCTTCACTAAACTCTCCAAAATGCACCTATGTGTAAATAGTGACACACAAAACTCTGGAATTCAAAGTTGTGTATTTATTTCATCAATAAATCTTTATGGTATTACACAGAAAATTATACAATGATAATTCTGTGTAATTTTATGCCCATTTTACATCTCTTGCACACCTGGTATACCCTTGCATGCAACATTAATGTCCACAATGGCCCGAAAACCAATGGAGTAATACATAATGCGTGCAATTTAGGGGCATTAGTTAGTTGGTACAGGGTGAATGGCAGGTGAGACAGCAGTGATGATGACGATGCTGGTTTGTATGAGGTGTATGGAATCAGTAGTTCCAAGTTTCCATACAAAATGTTAAACTGAGACTTAAGATTTATGTTGCTATCTGCAAGAAACTATATGGAATGTTTCTATTTATATGGTATCGCATTCAGTTTGTTTAATCTTTCTGCTAAGTATTCTTATTCATGACAGTTAAACTAATCATCCATAACATATTCTATGTGAACATAAAATCAACCAAGACTTGGAAGTATATCGTTGGCTTAGTGATTTACTTGGTGTTCATTTGAAAGTAATTACCATTCACTCAAAATATCATTAAGTAACTTTTATGATGTACATGTCTGGAATACAAGACCACAGTACACTCTTAGTTTTGAGCAACTAGACTTGTTTATGTAAAGAAGAAGTTGAATATTACTATGTACAGGTATCACTTATTGGTGTATGATGTGTCTTTCATTAGAACTATAATTTTTAACCTTATGCGAAAAATGCTAATAACAAATGGCTGTTGTATGTACTTCAAATTCAATTCATTACAATCCCTGCTTTAGTTTGGAAATCATTGCAATGTTCATCTGAAACTGATTTGCACCATGTTAAAAGATCACTAACGAAGCTGCATTTGTTTCATTCAGTTTTTGTTTTCATTTTCTTGTTGAAAGTTTATACTCGTCTCACAAAGAAAAAGATAAATATATTTGTAGCCATAGTTATATTCATGTAAGGTGTAAACAAAATGAAAGAAAAGAAATTTGTCATGTCACAAATGCCGTAATTGTCTATTTTTGTTTTCTTTTTTTGTAAAAGGATAATTAGCAAGTCATAATGTCTTCACACAGGCTGACATAGCTCAAGTGAATTTGATACAGTTTTTACATTTTGCCCTCATCTGTACCTTAGTATAATAAACTTTAAAAATGACATCTGGTTTGACTGCACAAGATTTTATTTTCCAGGATGCGAGTAAATGTTAGCACATAGAAATATTATAACTTTTTCTTTGTTATTATTTTGATTTTTTATAGAATTTGTCAACACTTTTGTTTTATAATTTTTATATTTCTCTGGTAATGGAGTAATTTTATAAAGAATTGACACTCTTTAGTGAATGTGATATGTAATCAGATTGATTTTACTTTGTTCTATTATCACTTTTAATTATGATTTTCCAGTATTTAGCAACATCTTCCAAATTGTCATTTTGTTCAGTTATTGTAAAAAACACAAATGATTCAATTTCATTTTTAGACTATATTAGCAGCTGCAGTGTACAGAAACCGTGGTTCATATTGATCAGTGAGAATTATTATGATTCTTATGTGTGATTATAATAGGAAGCATGAACGTTATGAACCAAGAAGTGTGGAGGTGAATACCAATAAATGAAAGAAAAAAGTGCAGTACTCTGGTAGTATATATTATTTTGCATACTATTGCCCTATATATAAGAGGGCTTTCCTTTCATTCTTGAGAAATGACTGTAAATACAAACTGTAACCTGTATATTAGTTTATCTTTTGCCAGTTGATCCCCCCATACCCTTTGCTAATGAATGCTCAAATCTGGGACAAGTTTTGTGCGAAATGTTTTTTTAAAATCTGTTTCATTTGTGATGAATTAGACTAGTATCAGAAATGTGATTAACATGTGCAAGAGAATCAACACATTGATGTTGTAATCAGGTGTTCTGATGATGTGGTCGTTTTGATTGTTGTTTTCAGAGATTTATCATTTTGAAGTTACTGTGAAATCTTTTTGAGACACATTTACTAGTTAGAAAGGACCAGCCACTGAATTCATTTGCAATATTCAGGTAATACTTGTTTATTTAGAGTATTTTATGGCTGTGTATAGTCTGACGCAAGAATTCAGCATACGGTAAGTTTTGTACTGAAGAGACGTAAACAAAGATTTGACATATGAAAAATAAATGAATGCTTTAGTTAGACATTGATTGTTATGAAATAGAAAAGCTGTTATTGTATGTACTATTTATTTTTGGTTGTTAAATTCATTTTATTTTCTATCAGAGCACATACTCCTTTTTAAAAGTCGAAAGACAAAATGGATGATAGATGATGATAGAAGCGTGTTGCACATAAGGAATATTTATGTCTATGTGATAATCAGAAATATAAAGTACAAACAGATCACTCTACGTGTCTTATCAACTAATAAGAACACATCAAAATCTACTGTCATTTTTTGCAGCTTTGAATTCTGTGTCACTTAGATCGGCAGATTAAAGAACAACCACTATTTGTTTATTTGACTGCAATATCTAGGAAGAATGTGTCTAGGTAACATAAAGGTCATGGTTTTGAGGAATGTCTTAATTAGAAGAGGGCACTTGGTGCCTATTTAATCACCTATTTGATTCAAAATTGAATTGAAAAGGGATCCATCCTAAATTGTCAATTCATTTCAGCTACTAAATTGTGTATTTTTCTTTGTAAAATGTCAGAGATAGAATTAGACCTAAGTGTATAGATTTCAGTGCTCTTGTATGATTCTAACTTATAGAGGCCTAAAGATATCTATCCGTTCTATTTACATACATATATACATACTTTAAAGAGATTTGTGGGGAATCTGTTTTATGTTAATATGTTTGAATGTTTTGTAATGCACTGATAGTCCTCTCAGCTTTGCCAACGTTAAGTAGCATGGATAATTGGATAAATCCTCCCTTGTTTCTGTTTGATTACTCAGAATATACAGACAGTATCTCCTTTAATACTTATGTCATTTAGCATCAAATCATATTTCATGTACACCCTTTAGAGATGGTAAGAAATCCTCTTTCTTTTATTTCTGTGGAGTTATAGTAGTCATTTTATCTATATTAAGGTAATGATACGCCAAGCTGAAGTGCAAGAGACATGTATACAAGTATTGACCTACTTTATGCTTTGATTTGAAAGAGTGAAGAGCATGTCATTTTCAATTATGCAAAAATAGTTTATTCAGTGTAAGATTATTGTCACCCTTTTTATGATTATACATGTATAATGTAGATATTGTTGTGTAAGTATCCTGGAATCTTATTTAAGAATGTTTTACTTCATTGCAGAGAGAATTATCACCAAAAAGTGATCCAATTCCTGTGAAACACATGAATGTCAATATGAAAAACAAATTGCTTTAACTTGTGCAGAAATGTATGTAGAATGTTCAAGTGTATATTGAAGAATGTGTGAAATATAACTATGTGAAGACGGATCAGAAATATGATCCAAATGATATCTTTACCTTTCTCACCACTTGAGAACGAACTGTGTATACTTATGAACTGTTATGTACAGGCAGATAAATAAAAAATAAAAATAAATTCTTAAGACATGCAATGAATAAATGCTTTCAAATATTGTTTTATTTTTAGTATTAAAAAAAAGTATAAATATAATTTTCATCATTCTGATACACATCATTAAAATACTATACAACTTTTTTTTACTGCGAAAATTCCTGTGTAATACCATCATCTAACATATAAAATTCTTCTTTCATTTATGGTACACTTATACAAGTATTAACACAGAGAAAATTGGCCCTTTGCTCTATTGAAAATCTCATGTCCATCTACTTCAATTTCACAAATAGATAAAAAACAAAACAGCAGAGCGTGGATGATTCAAATGTTTTTACCCAATTGTTACCCAATCAAAAAAGCCATTCAACTTGGCCCTGAAAATTCTTCTCCTGAATTGTGCATATAATTTTTTGCAAGACAATCTAAATTAATGGTGATTGAATCAATAAAAAGATCATTTGGTAACAGGACTAGGGAAGTTTAAATGAAAGTACTCCAATGAAAGTTCTCAAATATTGAAAGATTGGAAGATGGAAAATTTCTTGATAAAGCTATCATCGATGGACTATCATCTAGCATATCCACCACCTGTGAACATCACTTGGCACTTGTAGGAGCAGAAGTAACCCTTCATGAGGATGGGTGCAGCGCGGCGTTGGAAGTCGGAGGATGTGACTGTGTGGGCTATCTGTGAGAGATCCATGGGCACGGCAAACGTCCCATAGGGATGGCCTTCAACACTGATAGGTGTGCCTTGGAAGCACCAATGCCATCGGGAAGGTGAGAGGTAGAAGCACAATGTCACTGGAATGTCGCCCTCTGTGAAAGGCAGCCTTCAAGAATACACAAGAATAAATGGAGGCATTCAATGTTACCACCAACAATACAAGATGCATGTACATCCCACCATTACAATTGGGTTACGTGTATAGAGTTCACTACCTTATAAATGACCCGAAGTTATGGTGGTGAGCCAATGACAGAACTATTACAGGCACAACTGCAAAGGAGTACAATTTTCTACAGCCTTCTCTTCAACAGCTCGATGTTATATACTGGCATGAATCACAAAATTGAACTGCTATTTTAATTCACAGCTGAACAAATTTAATATTTATGTATTTTGATGAATTCAGTATCTTCTATACATATCATCACCATCTATCCTATAAATACAAAATTAGGAAATTCCACCTCATAGAATTATGTCAACTCACTTGGCTGTAATCACAGTTCTCCCAGCTAGCTCCACCAGTTTAGGCACATGCTTGGGAGTGTCCGGTATATCTATTGAGCGGCTTGCTGCAAATAATGCTGAGTCGCACCCTGACAAATCAAGCTCCTCTAATCTCAGCTTTGAGAAAGAAGATGGAACAAATTTGATGTCACTGCCACTCATGTTGAGAAAACGAAGGTGGTGAAGCTTGCCAAAGTTGTCCGGTAAGGTCTCCAGACTGTTATGTGAGATGTCCAATCTGACGAGTCTTGCTAAGTTGACTAGTTCAAAGGGTAAATGTTTGATATGATTGTGTGAAATGTTCAGACATTGCAATGTTCTTACTAGGTGCAGACTTTTGCATAGTCCCACAGGTAGATATTGGAGTTGGTTGTGTGAGAAGTTGAGTTCAGAAAGGTTTGTTAGTTGATCAAGATTCCCTGGGATCTCACAAATGCTGTTGGAGCTCAGGTCTAATCTTTTGAGATGCTTCGCTTTCAGAATTCTGCTGTCCACTTTCTTCAAACTACAACCTTTGAAAGGAAGGACAAAAAAAAATAATTCATAATCTTGATAATCATAAAACTCATGCAATAATGAATGATGTTCCAAAAATGCTAATGAGAAAAAAATACCATTTATAAGCAAATATATTTTAAACCTCCATCATTTCACTGCAAAATTATGATCATATAGCATACAAATTATTTGAAACATAAAAACTAAGACGTACATGAACTTACCAAAATATTGTTACCTAAGTAGCTTTATTTTTAATCATATGCCATTATTGAAAATTGAGACATTCCTTTCCAATATAGATCCTACTAACAATAGTTGAGTTATCAAACCAGTGGAGAAAACAAACAAATCTGTAAAAGATTCTTTTTTGAAAGCCCAAGATTGCTCTCGTAGGCCTGCACGCTACGCACCATTGACCTGAAGGAACTCCATTCTTTGAGGAAAACCAGTGGTGATAGGATAGTCCTGGCGCCGATGAATCACCACATTGGTCTTGGGCCTCTCAACCTGGGACTGCTTGGCTGGGACTAGACTGGAGAGCTGGACATTGGGCAGGTCCTGGTCTCGGTGGGCTAAATTGACCGCTGTCAGGAGGACCTTTAGCTGTAGAGGGTCAGCCTAGGTGATATTTAAGTAACAAGAAGTGGTCAAGATATTACAAAATAAGACTTCATCATGGTCAATAATAAGAAGATTCTGAGCATAGATGACCTTATATTTTGACAAATATAGTTCATTAAAAATTAAGCAGGACCTCCACATGTACACTAAATATCTTTAAATGATCCCTAAAATAGGATAGTGAGAATTTCAGCATATAAATAATAAACATATTACAATATCCAGATATTTGCTGGTCAGTGCTGCAATACAAACAATGTTACCCTGTATGATGAAACTTTTATATTCATTGTGCAGGTTCCCCTTGAGTTCAACATAGTACCTGTATGTAATATGGCTCTTCCATACTGTAATTCACCAAATCCAGAATTGTACTTTGTCACCTTATGCCCCGGTGAAACTGCCTTACTGATTCTAACCAATTGATAACTTGGAAAATGGTGATAAAGTATTCTCTGTTCGGTCTAGTTTCTGTGTTGTCTGTTTGACTGGAGAAACCAGGGATGCCAGTTAGAATTGATCAGAGGTCCTGAAAATCACCTAGAATGAGCTGTTTTCTACACAAAAAAGTCTAAACTATGGTCTGAAAAAAACTTGCCAGGGCCTGAATTCAGGCTATTGTCTGAAAATTGGCATCTCTAGGTAACATAAAGCACTAACCTTGCTGATGCAGACATCTTGTGCAGGTTCATGGATGCGGATAGTGGCCTTGCCTTCTTGAACAAAGCGTCCAAAGATCTTCACCACATTCCCTTTCAACTGGATAATAACAAATTAAAACATAACCTCTTTGATATTGTGAATAGCTTTTAATATCCACAAAGACGTGCCCATTCTTATATGGTATACCATGTACCAGAGACTCGATTATCTGCAATTTGCTGAAATTGATTTGAAATATTTTTCAGTAAGGCTACCCATTGCTGAATAACCTCTGTGCAGTATATTTTATAAAATAAATTTTCCTTTTTCAATTTTTACAAAATTGATGGATGGTTCTATAAATGAAATTAAAAAAAAATCGGAAACAAATACCTTACTGTTTTAATGTTATGACTTTACACACTCTAAATCCTATGGATATATGACATGCATGAGCTTTCTTGCTTTTCATGCCCTTAGCCTTAGATACAATAAACAATCAAATAAACAAACTTCTGTATTTTTTCAATACTGCTTGATATCAGGATAACAAAAACTTACACAATACTTTGCTCCATCACGGTCTTTAGCTGTGCAAATTGCAAGGAAGATTCCACCCTCACTGTTACCAGCCAGCGGTCGTCGACCTATCACAATAGAGGCCCTTATGGAACGACCTCTCTTGATCATGCCATGTGATGGCAGCATTCGGTTCTGAATCTCAACATCACAGGGAAGTCTCATGTTTCTGTTTGATTTTCTGTAATTATGAAAAGATAAAACAAAATGTGTAATTTGTTGTAACTTTATTAGATCTAGATTTAATATCTGGCATAGGTGAACATGTGTATGGTAGAGGGTCCTAAAGCTACATGGGGTCTTAAGCTGTGCACCCCACAATTACGTGCAATGCAAAGCGTTTAATGCGTCTTTCTTCTAATGTGACTGAGCAAAGAGAATCTCATTGAGGTTTTTGAATGATGTGTGCTCCTCAGTGAATTGAATTTGAAATTGCATGGAAATATATAACCCTAAACGTAGTGTAAGTGTTACAAATATAAGAAACAATATTTTCCAAAAATTGTGTTGATTTTTCTTAATTTTTGGGGGGTCACCCCTTAACCTCTCATCTTAGAGATCAATGACCAGCACCAATATCACATAGCCCTGTTTCTTAAGACTTTTGTTCTAAAAGAACATGTTCAAAATTGTCAGTTTGCTAAGACCAACATCAGTACCAGTAACACTAACACAACAGTCAATAGTAACACTATGGTGTGACCATAGTTTGTGAATGACCTAAGTTCACTATCTCAAAAATCGGTAAGATTTCGAAAATCTGATATTATACCAATGGAAATTTTCTCTGGAATAGGGTGTGAAATTATGAAAATATTGACAAAAGATCGGCCATTTTGCGGTCATTTGCGTCCGTTCATTTTGAGAGCAGATATCCCCAAAATTGTAAGTAAGAAGTGGCAACATCTGATTGTATGATATCTTGTCTTGCAAATAATTAAATGAACTTATTTTTGATGGATCACATTTTTTATAAATCGCTGTAAATCTCTGTGCACGAAGTAAGGTCTTGTTGTTTTTATGACTTTTTTAGTTGCAGCATGCACACCGATCCAACATCAAACTTTTAGATCCCTATACCAGGATCTCTGAAATGCTTTGACAATAAATTTTCTAGCTGAAGCAATTTGTAATTTTGTAGGAAAAACTTTGTCGTCCATTTGGTAATAATATAAACATATAGGGTCTAAATTAGTGTTTCCACATTTGTTGGGCTACAAAGTACAATTACAAATATATTATCAGTATGGGCGCTGGTCCAATAATAAGGATCGTCTTCATAAACGGCACGTTGGTGATGCAAAAAACAGATTCCGCAATGATTTTCTTGATGCATTTTACATTGACTTTGTAAAGAGACTTTCACAAATATCTTATAGCATATAGCATTGAGTTAATAGAAAACAGCGATAGCCAATCTGAAGGGCCCATGTCGGCTAGGCTAGGCGCCAACTTATGAAAATGAGGCTGAGATCGGATGAGCAATCTGCGCATGCGCTAATTGTAAGCTAAAGTTCTTCGTGGGGAGGTTATCCTTGTAAATGCGGACAAAATGCCTCCTCAAGAATAAGGATCTTCTGCATTTTTGCAGGAGCAAGCTTGCAATTTTCCATTTTTTTCAATACCAAAATTATGATATTTCAGTCAAAACCTCTATTTGTTATGATTTTTTCACGTAAGTATTTCACTTAAGTTTAAGTTTTTCTTAGATCTCACTATTTTTAAAGTTTGAACAATTCTCATTTTCGTCATATTTAAGGTACAATTACAAACTGGAAATTCGTTCTGAGATGTTCGTTGATTTTTCCATTTTATGTGTTTGCAATGCCGTGTGTGCGTCAGTTATGTGTGAAGTGCGTCACCTGTTTAAAGCAGGACGTGTCAAAAGTTGCGCTAAAGTTAAGTAGGCCCACTCGCACTTAAATTCAAAGGGATTAGAGCGGGTAAACTCACTGTACAGCGCCTAAATCATGCGCAAAGTTCTTTGTGCGCCCCTACATGCACATGTATGATGTAGCTGCAGGCTTACGATTAAATTCAGGCGTTGTCATTGACATTGTAGCAGTGTTTGATAAGTGCGATTGTACTGTAATTTGTCTCCCTATAGACTATGATAGACCTAGTAAGGTTTTATCGTCATCAAAGTCCCCTCTCATTCACAGTGTACACACAAGTTTGCGTAGACGCAATAAAGCTAGCTGTGTAGAGAAATGAGAGGGGACTCGGATCACGATAATGCCGATAGTAATTTAAACCTAGACTATTGCCACTATAAAGTCAATTGCTAGTACTGTAATAGATTGTTTTCCAACATTACTTTAGGCATTTTCTTCACTTCAGTCCCATTCAATCGATTTCGTGTCATCGTCATTAAGTTATTCTTCAGGGTTTATTATCTTTAAAATGTAGTTATCTACATGTTAAGAAGTTATTCATATTTATTATATACCTGGAAAGCTAGGCAAAAAAATACGATACAAGCAAGTTAGTTTAATCACATTCTAAAATAGGGATAGTGGGAAACTCACCACTACTGCACCGCCAGTTCAAATCTTTTGCTGCAGCCGCGCCAAGTCTAAGGCCGTCCCAAAGCTAGCGTAGAGGGCTCCCTTCACAAAAGCTGGGTTTTACGTCAGATCAACTTTCACAATTTACTGTTCGTGAAGGTAACGAAAAACAAGTCAAGTTAGGACATTTGATGGTCAAGTTGGGTATGTTTTACTTTTTAGTTACATTTCGATAATTATTCTATATTTTCAAATTTCATTAAAAGAATATTAAATCATGAATGCGTATTTATTTGCCAATATTTTGCATGTTGAGATAATCGCTCTCTTCTTTTGCTGCCTACCTAGCTACCTGAAAAGCTACGCGCTAGCTCCGGATCTGCGGCAGGCCAGGGCAGAGGCCCAGTGCAGTGTTGATGGGAAGTCCTGCTATTGCATGTTTGTCTAACTTCTAAGTAATGTTAAGTCGAACATGAAATAATTTGTATTGAATTTTCATGATAATCATGAATGGGACTATGTTCTTTGTTTGGCGGGAGGTTTTTCATAAACCAGGAGATTCTACATCGTTTGCAATTGCGGGAGAGCAGGAGTCTCGCGCAACGAGCTGGTGGGACGGGCGGTGAGAGAATGAGCGTGGTGGAGTAAGACTACTCGGTACTCCCTCCAAATGTGGGACTCTCAGGCCGTGTTTATGCTTAACTTTTTCTGGCCAGAATCAGGCATCTGTTACGCGTTTAGGTTAAAACATGGTTGCGTCCATGCTCACTTTTGTAGAATCACCGAAAAACGGCGATCACGATCGCTGAACGTAAACTCACAAAAAGATGCGTTTACAATTTGTTTAAATAAGGTCAACGCACTGACCTCTAGTGGGTCTACGTAGCATGCACAGTGCAGGTTGCGAATCCAGCTGCAAGGCCAATTCAGGCCACACAGGGAGAATTGCCTGGAGGAGCCAGAGAAGTAAGCATAAACAGTACACCGTTGAACTGAGATTACGATGAGCGTTTCAGATCGCTCATTATACCTTCAAAATCAAGCATAAACGCAGCCTCAGAGGGTTGACAGCCCTGCCAATCACATGACGAAATGATTGAATCCAACCTAGGCCTAGCCGGCGCTAGTGTAGTTCCGTATCCATTTTTTTTAGCAGTTTAATATCCATTCTTAGCAAAGGAATTTTAGCTCAATTGTTTACTAATTTTTATCATAATCATATATTGCATTTTCCACCTCAATTTGGATCACATCCGACATTGGGAAACCTCTGTTTAGGGCTTCAATGTCGACGTCGTCGCTCAGTACCGTCTCTACGCTGTAGTGCTGCACCTCAAACTGAAGCTATCAGTCCAAAATTATGCAGACTTCTTGTATGCGCGATACCATAAACCATATGAGAAGTCTGCATATGCGCGATACCATAAACCATACAAGAAGTCTGCCGGCCTAGCCTCCCACACTCACTGGCTTCATCTGACTAATCTTAAGCTTCTTAATTGGCTAACCTACATTGCTACAAATTTACGGCCCAACATGGCAAAGCTCTTTTTTTGCTATGGTCAAAGTTTGGTTAAAATATAACAAATTTCACGCGACATAATAACATCACAAACTCTAGTCTAGATCTACTTGAGCTTCCATAAAAATCAATAGATCTTTGATAAAACTACAGTACATGTAATAATTTTTATTGAAGTGCAATGAGAGTTTGTGATTTTATCCTGTGTCATCTGTCTTGAAAATACTCCAAGCAGACAGATTTTCTTAGTCTAGTATGAAGTGTGATTGTAAAGCTTGATAGTGTGATGAATATCTCAATATTTATTATTATATAAACCTGCTCTTGTAAAAGTTGTAATTGTATTAAAATTAAATGTAATATTCCATCAAAATTGGTCAGTTATGGATGGAAGTACATACATACATTTGTACACTTGCAAATCAAGAGCAAATTACATTGTATGCTGTTTTATGTCTTGCACTTATTTCATGTCAAGAAATACCTTCCCTTGCCACTGCCAGCACATGAAGTACATGTATGATACTGAGCTGGTTCTGTTTTGCCAGAGATCATAAGCATTATAATATGTGTATCTTCTTAATTCTATTCTATATTTGTACTCTGTCAAAACAGTGTGTTACTTCAACTCTGTTTGACAGGTAAATGTGGATAAATCTCTGTCATTGTGACTGTTTTGTTTGTTTGTTTGTTTTTTTTTTTGGGGGGGGGGGGGGGGTAGATGGTTTTTGTCACAGGATTGTTTGAGAAGTTAGCATTTGTAAGCTCTTGATGAAACAGTTTGCAGCATTTAGTTCTATGATACATGTCATGTATCTCAATATTATACTGCTGTTTTTTAGGAAATCTTTTCAATTTCATTACATCTATGTACTTACCCATAAAATAGGAACAAAGGAAGGAGAAGAAGAGGTAGAAAAAGAAAAAAGTAGAAGAAGAAAAAGGGAGAAAAAAAGAAGATAATGATGATAAAGAAGTAGAAGAAGAAAATAATGAGGAGGAGGGAGAAAGAGAAGGAGAAATTAATGAGGCTTGATCTACCAACTGTGTTTTTTATTATAATGAGTTTTTACTCATTCGCTCTATGGCAAAGTTTCATTGCCCTATTTTTTTGCTTGTGTTTGTTTTGAGTTATGATTATTTCATACTTATTTCATACTTAGGTTAGTAACAAAGTTAAATTTGTGTGCATCTTTTTTATCTCTTAAATACAGTGTACATGTAGCTGCCAAGTGTTAAAATGTGAGATTGCATTACCGGTACTAGGATAGTATGTTTATGAAATGTTTACGTATGATCCTGTACTGGTGTGATTTATTTTGGTCAGTATGCCCATGTTACTTGTATCACTATGAATTAGTCCAAATGAAATGAGATAACTGGACAATTCCTATAATAAGTGGATTAAAGTTTTAAATCATGATACAATTACAACCCTTTTGTGAGCAAACTGTTGTAGGGGCAGGTCAAAATTTTAAGGAGTAAAATGAAGGAGGAAGAAATAGAATTGCAGTGTGTTCATATTCTTGGAATCGAGTCTAATGTTAGACAGTATGGTTCTATTATATTGGAAGGAGTGGGTAGGTAGGTAAATAGAAATATTTTGGTGTTAATGTACCGTTACAAAACTTCTGAATCTGAAATTACAGGTACTGTACATGTACATGTACTGTACATGTTTGGATCGTGAGTGATATTTTGATGCTTTATTTTGTAGAGATACAGTAGGGCTGTACAAACTGTAATTTGTTGAAGAAAGCATTCCCTCTATATTTATCTAAATTGGATCGATGTTAGCATGTTGCATAATGCATACATGTATATATGCAGTTATTTGAGAATACTTGTCTGTTTAATCATGGAAATTTGGTTAACCAAACTTTGTTGATATACCTTTACATGTAGGTTTCTGATCACTCTTCGCAAATTAAGTACACGAACAACTCTCTCCCCCCTTATTTTTTATAGAATAAGTGAGACTTAGAGAAAGCTATGATTTTGACTAAAATGGCAATCAAACCTTTGTAATGAGTCTATTTGTAGTTTTGTATGGAAGCAGAAAAATAAGAGAACTAGAAACGGAATGGCGAAAGTTTGAGATATGTTGGACAAATAATAGGAAATTTATGAATTAATGTTTGAAATATGAAATCACTAAATCTGGTTAATCTGTGCAAATCTCAAATTGGCTATTTGTTCAGTTACTTTCAGTAGATTGTGACATAGTTACAGATTGTCCTGTTAAATTTTCTCCTAAGTGCCTTTTCCCTTTGGGCACTAATAATATATTATGGAGATCATATTTATTATTCTAGGTCCTCTAAAAAGAAAAGACCGTCCTGAATTATACATTTTGAAAAATTGCCATGATATTAATTTTGTATGTTGGAACAAAAGGGAGGGTTGTCTGCCACAACGTCACGATGACATTACTGATTCAGCCAATTTGACATTTGAAATTCCCTCACAAATTAATACATCTTTCAAAAATGTATTACTTTCTTAACTTTCTGTTTGTTCATTTTCATTCAAAATTCCATAAAACCGCTCCTCTGATTTTTTTTTCAGAGCAATTTGCTGTAAAGGTTGATGCATTTCTATGAAAAATGTTAATTCATATCAGAAATCACAAATTTGACCACAGATTATTCGTTTATTAAATACACAAACACTTACCGGTATAACAAATAATGAGACTCACAGAAAGCTATCATTTTATCCTTATGAAATGTTAAGATTCATCACAGTTTGTTCAATCCCATGTATGCCATCACCTGTAATTTAGTAGATCTTTCTGTGGGATCAATTTTAACTACCAAATACATAAACAAATATTCAAATCAAATTGCACTTTGAAGATTCTTACTTTTAAGAACATCTATCAATATGGCATCCATGCATTAAACTTTTGTAAACAGTCTCCATTTAGTATATTTTTTATTGGATGCATGTTATTCTGTATTTGAGATGACATCGATCCCCCTGCAGGATACAAACATAGCTGGGAATGAACCAGGATAGTACATGGCTCAGCTTACACTGTCAACATCATTAGGCTATGGCCTATGGGCTGACATTTTGCAGCATCAGAATGCCATTTATTATGCAATTTAAAGCACACCTTGCCCCGATAGCATAGCTGCAAGGAGGGTGATGGTACCTTGAAGAAAAACATGAGGACTGCAGAGAAAGAAGTTCATTCGTGATCGAAAGTGGCCTTGACTTGAGTAGGGTCATAGATGGTGTGATATTGATTTGATGCAATAAGGAAGAAAGATGTAGGTTTACATGTATACAAACTGGCCTTGAGTATGGTTTTACACTACAAATATTTCATTAAAAAACATTCTCCATTATATATTATGCAGGGTTTTTGTTGTATGTAGGTGGGTTTTTTTCAACCCACACCCTCCTTCTTTGATTCTGTCCCATTCACTTTTGTAGAGGAGACAAGTTTTAGGCTATAGATCTACATACACTTATGTTAGCATATATAGTTAAAGTATAAATTACTTGATACTGAGTGATCTTCATGGGAACTTTTCTTTCTAATAATCAATGGCACTGGCACCGACTTGCTCAGTGTTCATCTAGTTATTTCCTACTCGTACGCTTCTGCAAGAAAGGAAAGATGAAAAAAGGAAATGAAGGTCAGAACTAAGCTTTTGCTGTGTATTCCCAC